TTTAGTGTGAGTGCGTAATTCATAGACGCGTTTCCTTTACGCACATCTAAAATATTCTTACAACTTAAAAATGTTTGTACGCATATATGTATCATTAGCTTTATCATCACATGAAACTAATGTCATCACTTACAATGCATAGTTTTTTCCGATACATTGACGTAAAGGCAAATGTCAAACGGTAGAAGTTTTTCCATATTATCGTTTTATTGTGACCCATGTTTGACTCATAGGTTAAAAAACGAAACTCTGTATGATGTACAGACACTCTATTTTAGTAACACAATATCTATAGAGTAAAATAATTCTATATATAATTATTTGTTTTTTTAGTTCACCAAAAAGGATAGGAAATAATAGAACTTATCTTAGTAATATGCCACTCTATGCAAATCATGCAAGTCCTAGTTCAAGTACTCAAACTCAAGCAACAAGTAGTCATGTAGCATCTTATTATTCATCATCACCGTCAACACGTACAAATACATTTACACGTAAATTAGATATCGAAAATAATAAACGTGATAGTTCAACAACTGTTTATTCAAGTTCACATAAATCAGATTCTTTATATAATGAACCAACAAGACATAATTCAGCTAAAATTCTAACAACATCATTTAATAATCGATTAAAAATTATGCATAGTCCATCACATAATCGAAGAGATTTACCCAAAGCATCGATAGATACAGATAATGATGATAATGTACCACGTCAGATTTTATTACCTATTGGTGGTGGAATTGTGGGAAAATTAGCATCATCAGCTACGAATTTATCTTACCGTAAGTTTATTATTTTCAACTATCGCTTGAATAATTCATTGAAAATTTTCAATACTAATATTTCTAAATAAAAGATAATCATTTAGTTGATACATGATTTCAAGAAATTCTAAATTTAAATTTACGAATTTAATATATATATAGATTTTGTTTTTCTTTGAATTATTTGATATTCAAAATTTTCGCAACGATAAAAAAGCCTCAATATTATCTTGATAGGTTTATATTTACTATATGATTAGTACAATTTAAAGATATGCATCATCCTCCGTCTATCTTTGTATATGTTCGAGAGACGGCCGCACCTTAATCATACTAGCTGTTAAATTCTATTGCTTGCAGTTTTTAAAAAAAGTTTGTTTTATTATTTCATCTCATACTGATTTTTATAATTAACTTGTAATCAATGTTGATTACAATTATTCTGATAACAAATCGATATAACTTAATGAACTTCATTGTGATAAACATATTCTTTAAATTTACCTTAAACTAAAGAGTATTCTCTTTCAAAAGTTTCCGCGGAAACGGCTCATTAGAGATATTTGAAATCTTTAGAAAAAAGGAGAACTTGACGAATCAAGTAAAACTTGCCATAGACTCAAACTTTCCTTTATCTCCCTTATAAGAGATGCTATGTTCGATCAAGTTGAAAATCTTTTCTCTCAGGCACTAAACAATGTTCGAGGTAGATGTTCTTTTATTTTTTTTGTCAATCGAGTAAATAAGCCAGAATATCGAAAGTACCCTTAAAAATGTATGTTTTGAATGGAGTCTCCGAAAATCAACAGAATAATATTATTTGAAACTTGACAAAAAAAAAATATAGTACCGAATCAGTGTATAATATAAAGAGTGTCCCAGAATAACTGACGTTAAATTTTTAATGATTTTTTTAATACTTTTTCTTGACGTCCAGCACTGAATTTTTTATCGAACATACATATATAATTAAGATCTATTATTTCTGAAAGTTTCAGCTCTCTACGCTAAGAAAAAGTATGAAAAATATCATTAACAATTTATCGTCAGTTATTATGAAACACTTTTTTCTGTATTTCATCAATAGTTAATAGTTAGAGAGCTGAAACTTTCAGAACTAAATGATTTTGATTAGATATATATATGATAAAAATTTCAGCTCTCTACACCAAGAAAAGTATGAAAATAATCATTAAAAATTTATCGTCAGTTATTATGGGATATCATTTATGTACAAAATGTTTTAGTGCAATCAGTCGAGTTGTCACTAATTTGATTTTTTAACGTTTCACGATAATTTCTGAATCTCAAGATGTATTCAGTAGAGAGATACTACTTCAGACTATTCAATGGTCACAAAATTAAACAAAAAAAAAGATGAGGCGGATGGTACCGTTAGATTTGTGCACAATTTTACTAGAAAATAAATCAAGACGGAAAGGAACACCTTATAAGTATACGTATTTATATATATGTCCGGTTACATTCCACCTTATTAAATATTCTTTTGTGATATTTTTAACTTTATATTATTGTTCTTAGGTAATTGTTCAGAAATGAGACGCTATTTTTAAGAAATATTATAGAGGAAGAAAAAAGTTTTAGTTGCGGTCGCTTCGCCCCTGTTGAGTAAGGATGATGCGTAGCGAGTACGTCGTCGGGCGAGAAGAGTTCAGATGGTATCAGTATTTGCATTGCTTTCATCTTGTTTTTTAGGCATCACTTGTATGATTATCTTATCTTCGTGAATATTTTTAATTTTAGATGACAAGTCAACTGAGCATTCACCAGTGCATCGTCAATATCGTAATCCATCAGCAAGTGGAATTAATGATGATATGGTATGTTATTAAAAAACTTAAATAATACTATTCTTTTCTCGCTGTTTTATGCCTTTATTATAAATTTCTATCTCTCTCTTTATATATATATACATCTATTTATATTTTGGTAATAGAAAATAAATAATTTTTCTCTTCTTAACCTATATACAGACAGATCCTTATATTATTCGGGTTTGTATAAAAATTTCTTCTCATTGCTGTTGCACTTTATTAAAAGAATAACAAAATAATTACTGTAATCTACTTTAACATATGCATGTGATAGTACTATCTACTTAAATTTTCACAATTCGTTTGAAATATCCACATATATATATATTTACTAATATCCGATGAAATTTTAATGATAATCATTTAATATTTTTCTTTATTTAGACTCGATTTTAATACCAACAAATCCGTGCATAAACATTCCTTATCAATAAGAAAAAAGAATTTAATCGTATCGATTAAATTCTTTTTTCTTCGCTTGATTTAAAAAAAAAAAAACTATTTATTCTTATTGTATATATATATACATATATTCGTCAGTCACTTATTTAAAACGTAAAAAAGCTCGTTTATTTATTTGTTTTTATAACCAAAGAAAAAAAGATGATGATATTATTTCCTTTTTCATACTCGCATATTCATATACAAATGTTTACCTTTAGCCCCGGTGTTTTTTTTATTTGTATCTCAATTAGAAGTTTGTTTGTTTTTTTTTCTTATGAGCGTTAAATAAACTTTATGCACGCTATTCTCTATCTATACAAATGGTGTTTTTTTTTCGTTTATCATTGTCAATAAAAAATACTTTTTTTTTCTTCTTCTTCTTGTTCCCGTGTTTTTTTTCCTGTCTATTATTGTATTTCATATTTGGGTATTATACTTCCATGCATACGCGTATACTATTTTAATGTATTGAATCTCCGCATATTTCTTATTTCTCCTACCTTCCAATAAATTTAACATAAAAATTATTTTTATTTTTTTATTTAGTCTTTTAAATCAATACTCATTTTTCTGTTCCGGGAATTTCATCATAGGATGTTTCGAAATGTCAAATAATCTTTGAGTTTTCTTCTACTAATTAACAAAAGAGAAGTTCATGTTCATTACGGTTAAGGGAATATTAAATGTGGAATATTTTGAAATGATACAATATTATATTTTCTTTTCAAAGCACAGAAAGAAAACACTTATAATATTTGTGTATAAATTAATGACAATATTTTGATAGTATTCTTTTGTATTTGTACCCAAGTAAGAGTTCTTCAAGTAAATCAATAAAGAATATTTGAGATAGAGTATAAATCTAAACACTAAAAATGTATTAGTCGAAATGATTTTAATTTTTTTTTTTAGTTTATATTCATCGTTCTATAATAGAGTCGAATACATCTTTACAAACGAAATAATATTATTTACTAGTTATCTGAATATAAATTTCTAAATTAGTTATAACAATTATCTTTTCTTCTTTATATTCATCACAAAAGAATGCACTTAGACAGCAGTTTTCTATAGTCTGACCTTAATAATGCCAAGATGTTTTCCACGTCATTCATTGAAACTTTAGAACAGCGTTATGTCATTGCTATAACTTGAATTACCATCTATTCATATGTCAATATATACATTGTTGTATTAGAGGAAGGTCGAACTAAACCATTCTAGATAATATTAGTCTATTCATTGAAAAACAAAAGGGAGACAAGGATATCCTGAGCATTATCTCGAAACAGATAATTTACATTAGACTAATAACTATCTTGTGTCTTCATTCTACGAAATATTATTTTCGTGATATTTGAACTATTGCGCTTCATTCTATTAATTATTTACCTTGACCTTCAAAAATTATTAATCAGTCATCATTTTTTTCTCTCTCTTATTCGTATTGAAAGGCGGCAACTGCAGCAAAAAAAAAGAAGAAGAAGAAGAGAAAAAGGCGGAGAAAAATTGGAAGAGGGAGGAGAAACAAAATATTGTATTCGTTCGTGCATGCTTACACGTTCACATTCGATTTGATTGTATGTAGATTATATATATATATACTCAGAACGAGTATGTTGACCAAGTAGCTCAACTTCTTTGCTTATTTTCAATTCAGCAATTATTATAGAAACAGAAGAAGAAGCAAAAAAGATTAGATACGAAGAAGAAAAAAAAAAAAAGAAAAACAATCCTCCCATATTTCCGACAATATTCTTTCCGCATCGACTAGAAGAGAAAAAAAACAAGCCGATTAACACAATCATCATCGTCTTGTATGTCAAACGACTATATTTTTCATTGAAGATAAAAAAAAACAAAAAAAAAGGAAGAAATGTAAAAAAAATCTTCTTCTTTTTATTTTTTTTTAAATTCTAGATCATATTTGTTTTGTCTTTCTTTTTTTTACATGACGGCTACTGAACAACGAACAGCCGATTTATTTCCTCATCAAAATGGACGAAAATCTCCAGCAACTATTTCATGCGTATCATCAAATGTTGGTTCAATAACGGATTTTATTTTTTCTTCTTCAACACATTCCACATTACCAACATGTTCAAACATTCCTTCAAAGGAAATTCAAGAATCATCATCAAAGGAATTTCCATCGTCATCACTGCCACAAATTCTCATACATACATCTAGTGAACAATGTATTAATATGAATCAACAATCATCAGGGACTCTCAATCAAATATCAGTAAAGAATATTTTAATTTAGTTTTTGAATGAAAATTTTTTGAAAAAATATTTCGAAATATAGGTATGTGAAAGTGATAATGAACCATCGAGTGCAGGAAATAAAGAAAAATTAGGTCATCGTCGTGTTGATGAAACTGGAATTGTTACTTATAAACGTGTGACAGTAGATGATTTAATGAAATCTTTACAAATCGGTCTTACATATGTTCTTGGTAAACATCATCATCCACAACGTCAAGTACTTTTACAAGATTTTCAACAAATCGAATATCAAGATTTTCCACCGTAAAGTTTTTTTTTTTTCTTTGTTTATTATTATTATTATTCGAAATTATCTTTTAGAGAAGGTTCAAAATCAACACCAAAACATCCATATGCTGAATTTCGCTTAAAAACTTATGCTCAAACAGCATTTCGATTTTTTCGTAATGCTTTTGGTGTTGATCCATTATCATTTATGGTATGTTAAATGTTATACATGGAAAAAACAAAAAAAAAACACATATCGACCAGAGAAAAACCTGGAAAAGAAAAGCTTATTTTTATTAAATATGAAAGCATGTTCCATGACGTCAAATAGGATTAAAAATAAAGTAGCATATAAAGTTTTCCTTCGAAAACTATAATCAAATTCAATCGATTTAAGTCGACATTTGAAGTATGATATATGTGATATAAAAAAATTATTGGATTAGATTAACAGTCATACTGAAATATCACGTAGAATAATCTTGACTTTTAATAAAAATAAAAAATAATAATCAGATCTTGAACTTTATTGGGAAGTACAAAATCAGGTTATTTAAAAGAAAGAAAAACAATTTTATTATTGAATGAAACTGAGAAATATCAGGCTTCATGAATTAATATTTACTTTTTCCTCATTTTGTGTTATACAGCATTATTTATTCAAATAAAACAAGAGCAAACAATATCGTTTGACATGTTGATTCAAAATGAACATGAGATAACGCATATATATATATGTATGAGTGTTAGTCTTTTAGAAACACAGAGGTTATAATGAATTATATCTTTAAATAGAGAACATTTTCGAAAGAGGATTATCGAATAGAAAAGAAAACGATTATAAATTCATTTTGAAAAAGAAAACTAATCTCATGCAATTTTCGAATATAATAGAATTTAAATATTATCTGTTATTTCATGCAAAAAACCCTGGAAAACATAAATTTATTCTTATTAGTTTATCTATATTTTCTGAATGGTCCTTTTTTTTCTTTTATTTCTTATTGAAGACCTTATTCATAGAAAAATCATAATAACTCTCACGAAATAGTCAACTTTTTCTGTCATGTTAAGAAATCAAATTTATTAATCAATGATATACAATAGAAAACCACGTTAACATCAACAAACGAACTAATACTAATCCCCAATCGCAATAGAAGCCGTCAGGTTTTCTATTATGCTCAATAGTACAAAATTTTCAAGTGGAGGGGGAGTTACGAGAATTTTATAATATTAAGAAGATAATATCAATTTTCTTTTGAGAGCCTCTTAAATAAAAGAGTTTATTTCTTATTAATATTTTAGTCATCATTATGTGCTAAAGATTTACGCGAATTACCAAATCCAGGTGCAAGTGGTTCTATATTTTATTTAACAGCCGATGATACATATATAATAAAAACTGTATCAAAAAAAGAAGCACGATTTTTACTTAGTCTATTACCAGGATATTATATGAATTTAACACAAAATCCATTTACATTATTACCAAAATTTTTTGGTCTTTATTGTTATCAAAGTGCTAATAAAAATATACGTTTTGTTATAATGAATAATTTAATACCAACAAATGTTAAATTACATGAAAAATATGATTTAAAAGGATCAATATATAAACGAAAAGCATCAGAAGAAGAACGAAAGCGTGATTTACCAACATTAAAAGATAATGATTTTAAATCACTTCATCCACATGGTTTAATTCTTGAGCCATTTTTTTATGATCAATTAATGCAAACAATTGAAGATGACGTTCGAGTAATTATTATTATTATTATGTTTTTTTTTCATTTAACACATTCACAATAGTGTAACTTACTAGGAGATCACACTATAATATACATGAGATAATCAAATATAAAAAACTAAAAGCTCTCCGAAAATTTATTCATCAATCAGACTTTTTAGTTAGTATCCCGTAGAGGTATCACATCCGTATCCGGGTATCGGATCGTACCTGCTACTTCATCATACGGATCATCATCATCTGTCGATGAATTTTCATTTGAAACGAATTCTATTAATACTTCATCCATTATCATATCATCATGTTGTGTTCATTTAATTATTTTCCTTTTTTTTTTTATCATTATCAGTCTTTTCATGTTATTTCTAATGCTTGTTTGTCAGGTAAGATCCGAATGTGATCTTATGCCTGGATTTGAGTCGTCATGTTTTTTATACCTGACATCTAAACCGACCCGGTAAATTTGTTCCTGTAGTACTATCTCTACTAATCATTTTAGAAAAAGAAAAAAAAAACTTAATGTGACAAATAAATAATGGTGATAGTATCCTTAAAAATATCCAACTATACTGTTAGAGTTTAGAAACATTCCGTGATTCTCTAGAACACGATTATTCTATGAATCATTCATTATAATCCTATATCCGATTTCTTGATAGACTTTCTTTTGATATAAAATTCACTTTGATTTCTCTATATTTTAAATCTATACACTGGCAAAAAAAAAAACATATATTTTTCAGCAATTCTATAGAATCAGTAGTCTTCTACATGTTTAAAAGTAAATTATTTTCTTTTGTTTTAGGTTCTTGGTAGTTTTGATATAATGGATTATTCTCTTTTACTTGCTGTTCATAATATAAGTGAAGAAATGAAACCAACACAAAATTTATCTTTATTATCACCAGCAACATCAAAACAAATATCACCATTAGATATAATGACAAATACTCCATTAAGTGTACATGAAGATGTAAGAACAACAGCATCAATTGATTCTGGTATTGCTATGACAACAATACATAAAATACCAACTTATATACAATATATACGTGTTATTGAATTTGTTCGTGCACAACAAGAACCTTCATTACGAACATCATCAATTTTAAATACAGAAAATTCTTTATCTGATAATCATACTCATAATGATAATATTGAAACATCAAGTATAAAAACAGTTAAAGCAGATTTATCACCAATATTAAATAGAAATTTAAGTCAAACAAGTGATAATCAATCAACTACCCATCGAAACAGTAAAAGTCCAATAAATCATAATGATACATCATCACCATTTCATATTGGTAATGCTTTAATTGGTGGTGATGTCTGGTACAATCGACAAAATCTTTCACGTCTTGCTATGTATGTGTAATATATACGTATTTGCTTTTTTATTTAAATAGGAATGTACCAATGAATAAATGGTGAGAGAATTATACTGGGTCAGCTTGCTATTTTTTTTTTTAATTTATGCTTTGTATAACTATATGAGACAAATAACGCATTCAATATTAGCGATGAGATTGATTGGATCTTGAAAAGACTTGAGCTAATTATGTTGGGTTGTTTTTCTTTTAATATGAAGAAAGAAAAAAAAAACAATTTTATTTATTTATTTTGTTATGTAATATAGGGCTGGTATACCAGCTGTGAATCAAAATGGTGATTTATTATTATTATATGTTGGTATTATTGATATTCTACAAAATTATCGTCTTCGTAAAAAACTTGAACATGCTTTTAAATCTACGTTAGTAACACGAGTATGTTGAATATTTTTTTTTGCCTTTTCAAAAACAAAATTGAAAAAATTAATATGAATAATTTATATGTATAATAGGAAGAAATATCTGTTTGTAATCCAAGCCATTATGGTGATCGTTTTGTCAGATTTCTTTCACATAAAGTATTTCGTAAAGGTATGTACAATTCATATTTAGCTAATTAATAACTATTTGAAATGATAATATCAAATAGAATCACATGAAATAAGTAATTGTTATAGATTTAAACCAAAAAATTTTTTTTAAATCTTAATCATTATTGGAGAAAATCATTTACAAGAAGATATAAATATCTTTCGAACATACTATTCGAAACAAAACTACACATTAGATTATATGATTATTGTTGTAATCATAATGAATATTTACATTAAACTTGAAATAATATTATAAAATATGAGAATCAAGCTGAGTTATTCATATAGTTATGATTTTTATGCATGAATAAAAGTTCCTATTTAATCAGTAGATAATTGAAATAGAATTCTATAGAATCATATTTACTGAAAAGAAATTCAATCCATTTGTTTCCGCAGGCTCTCAAGAACATTTTGATCAAACATTCCGAGAATATAATCTCGATAAATATAACAAAAACTTTGCTAGATTCATAATTTTATTATTCTTTCTTCTCGAAGATATAGGAGATTCAATAGTGAAAAACAATGCTTTTTCTCTCTTCTCTCGCTCCCACTATAATCCATAGAACTTGTGTTTTGCTTTTGTGACATCTATGAAACAATGTCAGCTAACGAGAAAATATTTCTGTGTGTCAAATTTCTTTTGAGTCGAAGCAATATGCATAATGTAGATTTTAATGAGCTATGAATACTCTGAAAAGATTTCAGGCTAATAGTTTATTACTGCCGAAATACTTTAATTTTAGAATGTCACGGTTCCCCTCAGGAATACTCGCAAAAACAGAATTTTGATTTTTGACTTGAAACTTTGCATAGAGACAGATCTTAATAAGAATAGTTTATTGTAAAAGTTTCACTTCTTTTCATTGCGCCTATTCTGAAATTAGAATATGCCATTGCATATGAGCAGTGTGAAAGACATGCTTTTATCATTGGCTGTATCTTCGGATAAAAGCAATCAAGAGACGTAAAACATTGACAATAAACGATTCTTATTAAGACTAATATATCTATAGAAAGTTTCAAGTCAAAATTCAATATTCAGTCTTCCTAAGATGGATCGCAGCATTCTGCTAAACATACCGTAAAAATATTGTATATCAATAGTGATAAACTATTATCCCGAATTCTTTTCAAGATATTTATAGCTCATTAGAAACTACATAATGAATATAGCCCCAAATCAAAAGTGATTTGACACTTGGAAGCATCTCTTCGTAAGAAGAGTCAAAATACTGAACAGTTACACAACCATCTGTTGTAAATTGGTTTAGATTTTTGTAATATCTGTTAAAACTCACCAGTCAAATATTCTTAAGTAAAACAAAAAAAAAAAAAATTTGCGTCCCGATTTATTCGAAAATATTTTACGAAAATTTTCAATCCTATTGATTCTAATGCTTGAAAGAAAGAAAACTAGGGATAATAATATATTCATTGAAAACTCATTTTTTAGTTATTTAATTATTTCTTCTTTAGGAGGTCCAAATGGTAACACATTACTGTCGGACACTCAATCCAATACAGATCGAGTTACTTTACACAGTAGTAGGTAAATATTATCGATCATATACATAGAAATTTTTTTTTACTTTTTTTGTTTTATATAAGTTTAATTAATGAAACTTTATGTTTTTTGTTTTAGATTATTAAATGCTTCATCATATCGTTCGGGAACGAGTGATGATGATGATGATGATAATTCTTCAATAACAAATAATAACAATGAAGCACATAGTATAAGATCTTGATCTCATCTTTCGCGTGTGTGTGTGTGTGTGTTTTTTTTACAAGCGAATATTATTTATCCCTTTTGTCTTTCTTTTTTTCAACGTACGACTCAAAAATGATCTCGTCAATGTTGCTTTCAGCTTTATTTCTTTCGTGTGTCTTTTCTTCTTTTGTTTAACTTTTGAAAGAAACAAATTATGCATGTTCTGTTTATGTTTCACTGGTGAAGTTTGTTTTCTTCTTCTTTTTTTTTCGTAGTGTTGTCTATTTAACAATACACAGGACTTCTCTTGTTTCTTTTTTTTTCTTCTTTTGTTGAACTCTTTTCTTTTTCTTCTGAATTGTTATGCACTCTTATGTATATTAATATTACAACAAAACATATTCAGAGTAAAAAAACAAAAAAAACAGCGAATAAAAAAGCTCATATCGATCAATGAAAATTTCTTTTGCTATAAAAATTTTATTGGATAATTGGCATGATAGAATTTCTTGTTTTTTTCTTTTGTGATTATTTTCAAAAAAATAAACAGGAACATTTATTCATTTTGTTATGTGAATTTAATTCTTCGTATTATTTCAACTAGTTGTAATCAAACAATATTGTTTTTACCAAGTGTTAGATCTAAACACGCGAATCATTAATGAGTTAATAGTTAAATATGAATTAGATGGCAAGTATTATGTTCAAATTTTCAATGTAAAGATATTCTTCAATTATTTAATTATCTTTTGTAGATATTGTATTTAGTGTATGTTTTATTAATGAACTACATGAAAAAGTTTAGTTTTAGATACTTGATAAATAAGTAATTTATGAAAGTAAGAAAGAAGTTCTTTTCTTCGAATGTTGGACTGTTAATTACAGAATTACATCAGATTAAGACTATTTTTCTAGATCTGACCAAAGAATAATAAATCATTGCGTTCTACCTAATACTGATGCATTATTTGGCTGTGTGTATGTATGTGTTGTAAAGAAGTGTTTGCTCTTCCAACCTGCATGCTCATAAATAGATAATACTCTTTTGTAGCTAAATTATTGAACGAAATAAAATCGGAATATGTTTTTTTCTACAAAATGCATGTTCAAATAACGGATCAGTATTCAAGATGATGAAATGGCTCATAATTATTTGATTGGGTCTTGAAAATTGTTAAGGAACTATTTCTCTACACAAATTGTAATAGACAGAAAATGTAGGAACAATTTTTCGAACGAGAAAAAAAGTCAACAGCATGCTGTACATTTCTTGGTACTTTACAATCATTATTTAAGCTTTGTAATTTTAGAGTTGCTAAATTTTTCGAAATGGTAAGAAAAATTTCGAATATTTGTGCATTTTTTTCGAATTGATATAATTTCGAAATTAAATCTTTTCAACAATTAATGCACATTCGTTATAATATTTTAATCATTAAATAGTATAGAGCTTTGAGATTTCTAACAGTACACACTCTCTTGAATCGAAAGTCTTTCCTCAAACTAAACTGAATAGATTGTATTATTAAAAGATACTATTCGGATAAATAATTTCGTTAATATAAACTGAATTAGATTCATTCATGGATGACAAGTTCGAAGGTTCGAATACAAGGTTGAACAAGAAAGAGAAAAATGTCACGAGCAATTTGTAAAAAAAAAAAACTACTAATAGAGCAATTATGTATTTAAATGTCGAATAACTACTTTTCGAAGCTGTTATTAAAAAAAAAGAATTTCGATTTATAACCTTTTCGATCTGACAATTTTGTGTAAGTTTGAACTCAAAAAGAAAAAGAATATGAAGTGTAACTAAAATTTTCTTGTTCATGACAGAAATAATTTCATTAGATTTGTCTGTCATTGGTTTAGATAATAAGATTACTATCAATAGATTAAGATGTGTTGGTATGATGAAAAATAGTATTACCATTTATTTTTGTTCTTACAATTATTTTCTTTTGAATGTTTAGAAAATTTTGACAATCATTTTATAAATTAAGGAATATTAGATTTTTGAAAGTCTGGCCAAGTTGCTCATATGAATAAATCTATTTAGAACTTGCTTTTATAAAGTTTTATGCTAATCAATTTTCTTTACTACATTAATCTAGGCCTTGTTTATTCATGCTCAAGGCACACATTGATCTTACATGTCAAAGAAGATGATCTAAAGGTCACGTCGATCAGAGATTTTTCTATATGATAGTTTTCTCATAATATCTTTTTTGTCTGATTAACTTAGTAAATATTGGATACGATTTCCAATTTAAGAAAGAATATATTTTGTAGAATAAAACATTCGAGATAGAATAACTAACACTGATTTGGATGTAACTGAAGTATATACAACAATATATATATGCTTCAACAATTTGTAAAGCATGAAATGAGCGGATTTTTATTTTACTAATTCAATTTGAATATTTGAGAAGCACAAATTAATGTTTTGATATAAATAATGTATTGATTTGGATATAAAGAAAATGTTAAAAGAAACTTACGAGGAAAATTCTCCAACTGGTTCCGAGATTTTAATTTCATCTTTTAGCTATAGGTAGATTCCAATGAGACTAAGAAAATCTTAAAAGGATTCGTGTTCAGGTCCTATTAATCAAGAGTTATGACCGACTTACTGAATTTTCAGCCTATCCTTAGGTATTTACCGGAAAGTCATATTACAGGATTTCGATCTGAAATTTTGCCCAAGGATGGATCTAATGATCATTAGAATACTCCGGCAGTTTCAGCCAAAATAAATGTTCTCTTTGCAACATATTGGATTTGCAAAAACTAGTCGCTTGTCGCATGCTTGTTACAAAAATCGAGGTCGCGTGAATACTTAATATCTCGAGAAAAGAACATTCGTTTTGGTTGAAATTTTTAGAATATTCTAATGATCATTAGACCTATTCTTGGGCAAAACTTCAGAACGAAATCTTTTAATTTGATCTTCCAGTGAATACCTACGAATACGCCGAAAATTCAGTAAATCGGCCGTGACTCTTGATCAATAGGATATGAGCACGAATCCTTTTAAGGTTTTCTTAATCTCACTCAAATCGACTTATAGCCAAAAGACGGAGTCAAAAGCTCGGAATTAGTTGAAGAACTTCCCTCGTTGGTGCATGTCTTTACGAATCAAAGTATAAAATACAACCAATCAGCTAATATAATTAACCAAAAAACTTAGCATTCATTCATGAAAGCAACATTGTCTTTTTTTTGTTTTATATAAAGATCGGAATTTCTTGGTTCTACATATTTAATATTACCACAGACTATGTTTCATAATAATAAGATGAAAGAACCGTTATCTACTTTAAACAAAAAATGTGGTGTGTCTTTCACGGATATATACTTCTTTTCATCTCTTTAGTCTTTTTAACAAGTATATTTTTGTTCTTTTCCAAGCTTGATCACTCAAGTGTTAATAATAAGTAACAAGTAGAGTATTTCACTAAAGAAATCACCTTGCACTTTATCATCTTAGTTATAATAATATATATAAATTCAAGAATAAAAACTCTTTGAACTATTTTAATATATTTATTTTTAGATAAATTTTAAATATGGATAATCGAGATTTTTGGCCATATATGAGAGTAGCAAAATTGGTAAGTATTTATGAAAAAAACAAACAAACATAGAAATAAATAATGATTCGAATATTGAAAATATTTTTCATTGATTTGGATCATATGAATTCCGCTGTATTAAATTTCAGTAACTACCCGAAGGGTATTTATTTGCTTTATATATACAGCCCTTTTTTTTTGCCTCATGCTATGTGGGCGTATGAATCACGCCAATCAATATGTCAACTCAGTTTGAAGTAAACACATGCTGTCGAAAGCTCATTGCAACAATCAATATAACAAAATTTCTATTTCTTATGGTATAATTTCTACTTTTTTTCTTCAGCCTGAATTCGATCCATCATTTATTTCATCATCACCACCATCATCTCGATCTCAATCTCGGCTTTCATCATTTTTTTCATGGTTACTTAAACATTATCAATCATTTTATCGTTATTGTTATGTACATTTACATGATCTTATTTTATCATCTTTATTTGGTTATTTAACATTAAATGAAAAATTATATGTTGCTATACATGAAAATGACTTATATAAAGCTCGTAAACTTTTAGAACATGGTGCATCACCATCATATTTACCTGCTGATTATAAATCAATATTTACACATTTAATAAAAAATAATAATGCAATTCAAAATTATTACATCGAAACAAGTCTTTTTTCTTCTATACTTGCTAATGATAGTCTGTTATACATGGCTGTATCTAATAATAATTTTAGTTTAGTTAAAGAATTAATTCATTATCATGATTATGGACAAATTGGACAGCATACAGAAGTTGTTTCATTATGTTTAGCAGTTAAACGTGGTCATATTCATATGGTTGAATATCTTATTGATTATGGACATATTAATCCAAATGATTGTATTCAAGTAGGTTGCAAACATTGTAAAAGTCATACAGATGATGTACAACGTTATCAATTTCCTCTCTATCGTAAATAATAATTATTTTCTTTTTTTTTTCTTCTTCTTGATTTATATGAAGTATTGTTTATTTATTTTAATAGATGCTTGTCGTGGAAATCATTTTCAACTTGTCAAATATTTAATTAAGTCAAAACAATGTGATATAAATCAATTAACAACAACATATGAAACATGTTTACATGGTGCTATTTTAGGTGCTGCGGAAAATCGTTTTGATACATCATTTAACAATCAAGAACGTTATCTCATTGTTCAATATCTTTTAAAAAGACCTAATTGTAATATTAACCTTGGTATGATAAATTTTCACTATTTAATGATACATATATATCTCCTTTTCGTGACCTAAAATTTTCTTTGTGATCATCGTACGAGGGCCATTGCGATCCCAGTATCTAAGATTATTTGAATTCGATATAATCTTTGAAGAAAGCTGAAATTTCAAACCAAAGGTTTTTTAGATTTGATTAAAAGCTGTATGAAAAATAAATTTTTTCTATAGTGTAAATATTTGACACAAAATCAAATGTCTTCAATTTCTGTTTATTGAACGATACTTTATTTTTATCCAAATTTTGAAAAGATGTTATATATATATTATTAGAAATCTCTATGAATGAACAAAGAATCGCAAGAGTGATTGGAGTAGGAAATGCTATTGCCAACAAATTTTTTAAAAGTAAAAATGATTGTTAGTTTTCCAAGGATAGAGTTTCTAAAAACCTAAAACCCAAGTTTTTCAACTCCCGGAACTTGCAAATAAAATAAAACTTCTTAGAGAGCTGGAAGATGATTCTTTTTGTATAGAATTGTTTGTTCTATCATTCTAGAAAATTAAAGCAAGATTATAATTGCAAATTCTAGGAGTTGAAAAACTCGGCTGTTGGATTTTCCAAAAATCCTACCTTCGAAAAATCTTGCTAGAATAAAATCCTCTACTCATGTCACTATTTGGATTTTTCGTAACATTTACGATAGCAGAAAAACATTGAAATGAGTCTGGTTGAATAATTTTGTAATTCACTACATGTTTTAAAGTTATAATGTACATATAATTATTACGATTGAACACATTATTGCCTAAAATATTAATACATTTAAATAAATAAAATAGAAACAAGAAACTATTGAATTACAATAAAATTACTCTAGTTATTAAATTCATTATTTTTAAAAGATCAACATTTCTTCTATTTCTATTTTGAATAGGTCTCAATCCATTATGTGTTAGTCTTGCTCATGATAATATCTATGATTATGCTAATTTATTACTTCAACATAGTTGTGATGTTAATCGACTTGGTTGGAATCTTTATGAAACAACAAAAACAAATCATATACGAAATAGTCATTTACCCTATTCTCTTGATCATCCATTAAACATTTGTTTACGTCGTCTATGTCAAACAAATAATAATTCAACAGTATCTGATTATTCATGTAATAAACAATATGCATTTAAATTAATTAATGAATATTCAAATATCTATGCAATGTATGATTATGGTTTAACTTATCCATTTTTACTTGCTGTTCAAACCGGTGATAAAACAATTGTTGAAGCAATACTTGAAAAAGCAAAATTACAGATTAAATTAAATATTATTGAACCACTTATTTATGCTTGTACAAAAAAATTTTATGATATTGTTCAAATGCTTGTTGATTTTGGTTTTAATCCAAATACAATTATGATTAATCGAGATTATGCAACATTTAATAATTGTAAGATATTTCTTCAAACTATTTTACTATATAAGTAATAGTTAAAAAAGAAATGTGTTGACATCATTAAATATTCCGAATGATATTTTGAATAATGAAAACATTCTTTTTTCTTTTCATTCTAGTTGATTTAAATAAAACAAGTTCACCAGATTTCTTACGAAATCTCGATCGTTATTGTAAATTTCCTTCACAATCATCAACAACAACAACAATATATTCTTTATTATTTTCAACACATACTAATGATTCTTGTTCATGTATCAATTCTGAACAACAAAAAACACCATTATTAGCTTTATCACAAATGTCAACATGGTTATTTCATTGTGATAAATATAATTCAACAATAAAAACAATTGAAAATCTTTTTTCTCATACTCCTATTGATTTTTCAATTCTTCCAAATCGAGTTGCTTTTTATTATGCCTTATTAAATGAACATATGCCTATTGTTTATTATTGTTTAGAAAATTTGTGTCCAATAAATCTTCTTCATAATACAATTGACTTTACACAATCTTCTTCCAAAAATAATTTTTCTTATACTTTATTTCATTTAATATCTGTTTGTTGCCGTTTAACATCAAATAATCAAATAAAACGTACTTTATTTGACTCATATGCCAAAGCAATATTACGCATTAATACTAATGATCGTTCATCATCGATGGCAAGTGTTTTAGCTTATATGCAACTATGGTTTGAGGATCAAGATTTTGTTTATGATCAGATTTTATTTGAACATCTTATGTCTTTACCATATGTTGATGATATAATTCGATTATACGATGAAAAACAATTACGTTCATTATTTGGTGCACATTATTATCGTGTTATTGAGCAAAAACCACGTTCAAAACCAATGTATGCACTTAAACATATATGTCGTTTAAAAATTCGTCATCATAGTCAACTTTATTGTAAACGTCAACAAACAAATATGTTAAAAATAATTCCGCAATTAAATTGTTTACCAAAAATTTTACAAGCCTATTTATTTTATACAAGAACGAAGTCAAATTCATTAATTGATTATTTATTAAATAATAGATCGTGGAACGATATACATTGGATGTAATGATCGCTAGAAAGAACACGATACAAAAAAAAATTATTATTTTATTACTATATTTTGTTTTTGTTTTGCTATATATTTATTTCAGAAATATTTTTAAGTAATATATAGTAGAGATCATATATATATATTTTATTTTATAGATTAAATAAGAAAAAACATCAATTATGGCTTCTATGTCACCATGTACAATAGAAAAAGATGTTCTTGATGCAATGAAAAAATTTCGACGATTATCGAATAAATCAACAATGGCTATGTTATGTAAGTCGATGAAAAAAAAATATTTGACGAGATTCAAGATAAATAAAATATGTTTTTTCTTTGTTTATAGTACGATGTGATATGAAAACAAATCAAGTCGTAATTGACAAAGAATTAAAAGTAAGTGCGAAAATTAAACAAGAGTCTTTTACATTATTTGAAGAATATCGTTAGAATGTTAATACAATTAAATAAATCTGTTAGCTTAACATTTGCGTCGTTGTTTTAAGCAAAAATACAAAAAATCTTATTTCTATGAACTGTATACGTGAAATGCTTTGAGTCCGAAAACGTAAAATAAACAATAGTACAAAATAGTATAGAGAAAACAACATATGATTTATTCTATTTTAGTGTTACGAGGGAAATTTCCCAACTGACAGTTTATTTTCGAGTCGACACTAAGTGTATTATGTAGAATCAAAGAAGCTATTAGTGTCTTGACAACACACGTCCAGTTGTTCTTATGTGTCTGAGAGAAACTACGATATTCATTTAATAAACTACGTAAATTCGTGGTAATAAGCTAAGGGGTCGAATTGTTTTCAGAATATTGAAAACTCATTTGGATCTACATAATTCGGATTCAAAAACCGAGTCATTCTTTCTCGTTGCTCATTATCTGAAACAAGATTTGAATTTGTGTTTAAATTATAGGATATGAGTGTTGAAGCATTAATTGATGAATTACCAAGTCGTGAGCCTCGTTTTATCTTACATAGTCATGAATTAAAACATGCCGATGGTCGAATTCAATATCCGTTAAATTTAATATTATATATTCCTGATGGATGTGGAACAAATAATCGTTTTACTTATGCATCAACAGCAAATTCAGTTTCAGAAGCATCAGGCATTGCTCGTGTATGTTTTATTTTCTAAATAAATAATCAATGATTAAATCTTATACTTTTATTTATTTAGATTATTGAATTTCGTGAGGATATATCGGCTGAATGGCTAAGTAAAGAATTACAAAAAACTTATTAATGAATGATTCAATTAGACAACTTAGATTTTTGTTATTACTTAATTTTCATATGTAATCAAAATTCCAAGATTTGTAAATTATTTGTCTGATATTAAATATTATCAGAAAATAAAAGAAAAAAAAAAAGAAGTTGATTCCTTTGTTTTTCGTGTAATTCACATATGACTTTATTTGTGCTCAAAAAAATAAAATAAAATAAAATAAAACTAAAGTTACCAAATGATCCAATGATCTAAATAAGAAGCTAAAGGTAAAAGATGTTCATTAAATTTGTTTGTTTGTACAACACAACAATCAACAGATCCTAAATTTTTATCAATTTCAAATTGTTCATCAATTTTTATTCGAGAATTATCAGTTAAATCAATACGTTCCATCATTTTAGTTGGACGACCTGTTTCACTATTATAACCACCAACAATATATAATGAAGTGCCTAAGCAAAGAAAGAATTTCATATTATTTATTGAAAGAAATAATTATTAAATTCGAAACATCGTTTTTTTTGTAATATGATCTTCTAATTCATTTGATGAATAGATCAATAGTAGCATTTTAAAGATATCCCATTAAATCTTTTAAAGTCATAATAAATGTATCTGTGCAAACGTATCTAAATATGTCATCAATATTGTCTCTAAACTTATTTTATTGACCTTTGCAAAAGCCACTATAAGAAACTTCAAATGTTTTCCCTTTGTCGCATTATATTTACTAACGATAACAATTTATCATTAAATATTTGGACTAAAGTCCGTAGATATCAAAATCTTTGTACTCAAACAAGATAAATTTTACTTCAAAAATTCAACTCCAAAGAGCAAAAAAGAAATGTTTTTTTTGTTCTTATCATTATTTTGTCGACTTCCTACATATCATTTATATGCCTCTCATTGATCACACCTATTAAGTCTCGCATTTCAGACTCATTGTGTTCCACTTAATACTTATGAGAAAGACAGCATCTGATAAAAATTTATTTTGAAGATTCTGTTGTAATACCCTTAACTATTGTGTGAAAATATACATCGTTGAATTATTTGACGAGCTGAGAAATTATTTTCAGTGTATTTTCGAGTAAAAAGAAAAGACATATTTCATTTTAAAATTACAACATATTCATATACATATTGATAATTCATTACGTGTTAAACGTAAAATATGATGTTTATTTTTATTTGAATATGACTTGTACTATCTTAACTATTTAATATCGTTATATTACAGAAAGATAAGATAAATAAACATACATAATTAAAATTCTCTTTCTAACTATGAAAAATACTATTTTATTATTCCAAGAATATTAAAAGTATGTTTGTTGATGTTCATGCCAGAATCAAAGACAACTGGGTGTAATTTCTTAAAAACTTGACAATAACAACAGTTTTTTTTCTTGTGATAATATATAAGACAAAATAATTTTAAAATATGTCGTCTTCATAAAGCATACAAAAAATAATACATAAAAATGGTGTTCGTTTTCGACATGTACTTGTGACTTATAGCTTACGTCATGAATCAAATGGTTATCTTCTCATATTTCAATGTTGAACAAGCAAAATTGTCTATATATTCGGAAAGCCTAAACTTGCTAATTATTGAGAGATGACACCCACATTCTCTTTAATGCTGACGTAGATATGAAGTTTTTAATCAAGATAGATCGTTCTCATTAATTTAAGCAAGAAAGAAAAACAACATATTATTCATCAAGAAAAAAACAAGGTGTAGTGGTTGCGCTTCCTTTTCTCCTCATAGAAAAATAAAATACCTTCATCAAATATGAAACCTTTTCTTTTTCTTTTAATATAAGAAAATCATGATTAAAATGCATTAATCAACAGAGAAATTTTTTTTGCTTTTTACCTAATTGAAAATAACCACAGTCTGTACGTGGATGGTGCAATCGATTACTAAGTTCTTCCCAAATTGGTGTACTATCTGATGATGGATTATTAATACGAGCAATTTTATGAATATTTTGAACTTCTTCACCATTTTTTTCACATCCTATACTTATAAAAACAAAAAAGTTGATAATGTTTATATTTTATTTTCTCTCACCACCAAATATAAATACATTATTGTTGACAAACGCTAAACAATGTTGTTGACGTGGATTCGGTAATGTAAAATCTGTTAATGAGCGTTTCCATTCACTTGGACGTGGATCAACAATACTTAAAAAACCAGAAATGAAGACAAAAAATGATATAAAAAAAACAAACAATTCATTTACTAACACAAGTTCATTCGTCGATTGAGCTTCAAGTAATGAACTAACACCACCACATGACCATAGTTTTCCATTAATTGTACAACTTGCATGATTTCGTCTTGGTTTTGGTAATGTGCCTACTTCTTTCCATCGATCAATTGTTGGATCATAAGCTTCAACTGTTTGTATAATTGCGCCTTTAAGACCTTCTCCACCGAGTACATATATTTTGGAATCAAAAATACTTAGAGAAAAATTAATTCTAAGAGAAAAAAAATAAAATCATAAGAAAATGAATTATTAAATTTTTAGTACCGTGGAGCTCGCATTGAATCACATGTACGCCAAAAGTCAATTTCAGCATCATATTTAAAAACAGCACATGACAGACGACCTGTTGATGCGTAGCGACCTCCGATAATATAAACTGAATTTTCAAAAGAAATAGCTCTAATACATAAAACAAAATTCAATAATTTTAATTAAAAAAAAAAAAAAAGAAACAATAGTAGATAAATTTTTTTTCTACCTGTAATCAACAAGATCACGCATAAAATAAAATGTTGCTGTCAACAACATCGGACAGACACGTTCTTCTTGATGTGCCATTAAATATGGTATATCACATGATGGTTGATTTCGAGAAAATAATAAAATAAATGTTACTTTTTCTTCATTTGACTTTTGTGGAGTCATAATAATAATGTTCAAATTAACAAACTTATGTCTATTTTCTTTTATTCTATAGATTCAAGCACAAAAACTTTCTGACAAGTCTTCAATTATTTCGCTTTTGTACATTGATTCTCTCGTTTTTCTTTCTAAACGCATATGGTTTCGAAGAATAACAACAACAGCAACAACATCAATTGCAGCAACAAAACATTGAGATACGTTTAGAAAAGCATACATAGAAGCACTCCGTTTCTTTTTTTTTTTCATGATGATGATGATCATGGTTACCTATCGTTAAGTGAAAAAAGAAAAATGAAAATAAGTCGGCCAATTTTTACTTTACGTTAATAGAGGACAAGAAAAAAAACCGTGTATGTTTGGTATCACTTTAACAAAAAGAAATTAAATTGAAAAAGGTTTCTAATAGCAACCATATTTCAAAATCTATTTCAATAAACAATAAATTACACATGTTTTATGACTGGAATGTTTGAAATTGAAAAACGTATACGCCTATTCGATGAATACATTACATGAGTATATTTGTAGAGTACCCATGAGTCAATTTTATCGACTTGTATACATCATATTCCAAGATAAGAGATTCATTATTGTGTTTGACCTGTGAAACTTCAATATTTCACAGTACATTTACGCTTATTAGGTCAGCAAAACTTTACGAAATAGGTAACAGCGCGATAGGCATCAGCTTGTAAGTAACACTTGTAAAAAGTTTTTTTTTTGCTTGATATTATGACTAAATCGGAAATTTTATGATGAAATATATATATTACAACGAATAATTGCAAGAAATGCAAGGAAAAAATGATTGGAAAGGAGGAAAGGAGGGTTGAGCAAAAAAATGTAAAATATTACACCGTGGGTTAAAGGCAAACGAGGCGGGTAAGAAGCAAGAAAAAAAACACTTAGTGAGTCAAAAGAGTAACTTTCTCTACACGTCTATGTGCGTTTTTGCCTTGTTTTTTTTCTAACCCTGTTTTATTTTTGTCATTTTACGAGTATAAATCATAGGTGGGTGAAAACGACATTATAGCTATATATTCTTGTTTTCATTTCGTTCATCTACCGTCCAATTTATTGATAAGCAAGTGTGTCTGGATCCATCTCTAAGTAACAACAACAGACGAAGCATAATTTCTCACTTTGGCATAGAACAAAAAATAAGGTATTGACGATCATGTTATCGAACGAAAACAAGAGCAAATATAGGATTTCGTTTTGTTTTGTTTTTCTTTCTTAATATGAAATACTGGAGAGACTAGTAACAAATAGAATGGCTGTGTTTTTTTTTTGATGCATTGATGATACTCAGTAAATGCCACGATCAATATGCAAGAAAAAAAAAGGAAAGAAAAAACCATTTGTATGAACCAGACAAGAAAACTCGTGATCAGAAGAAAATAGATTGTACATCTTGATGCAAATAATATTTAACAGATGAAAACTACATTTTATATCTTCAATGAACGTCACTATATGTGATTATATTCGAAGTTAGTTTACTTCTTTTAATTGTCACTTAATTGACATAGATCATTTAAGTATCGAATTTAGAATGTTAGATAGACTACATTCAAAGAAATGCTCTATATCTTAAGCAATTGCAGATTCGACTCATTTAATCATACGATTCCAGTTGTAAAATATCAAAAATTTTCTATAGATTTCGTTTAGCAATTAGAAAAAGTTTAATCTAAAAATACTTTTTTTTTCGTTTCTTTATCTAAAACGTTTATTTTTTAAGCACCAGATGCTTATCTTTACATTTCTGATAAAGAAGAAGTATTATATATTAACACGTAATAACTTAATACATGTGGTACTTTTTTTTATTGAAAAGAAGTAGTTAAAAACAATAGAAAAAGTGCACTAGTACTACTGGTCTATTACGATCGATCACATCTATAAATTTCTATATACAAGTGTTAAAAAATCAATATTTGCTGAACTTAAATTATATTCTATTAATAGCAATTGAATCAGGTAAAAATATTTGCATATTATATATACAATTATACTCATGAAATCAAGGAATAGATTTTGTTCATGCTTGAAAAATATTATTTATATGCATTACATCATCATATAAATGAATGACATCTATCGAGAAGACGCAATTTTTTTTTGACGACGTTACCCGAAATATTCGTTTTTATATTAGTCATTAATTAAAAAAATATAAGAAATTATTATTTATATCTTCTCTGTCGTATTTATTTTTTGTCCATGATGATTATATAAGAAATAAGTATTAGTTCGCAATAAACAAACAAATATGTCAAAAAAAAAACGAATACTAATATCGACTATAAATAGGTTTTAGAAAGACAAGAAAAAAACGAGACATCTGTTTTGAGATATATTGGATTTATTGTGTAGGTCATATAAGCACTTAATTATTTTATTTTTTGTTTTATTTCATTTTTTTGTTATAGGTATGAATCCTTTTGTCAATGAATGTATATTAGTCGAAAAGAGCATAAATATGTTATCTAATATCGAAAAGTCTACTTCAAATTCGAACGGTCTGTCCTTTATGAAAAATCTAACGAGTTGTTCAAGTACTAATGTTAATCCAACAATTAAATATCCACCACCGGAAAGACGTGTATCTTTAACAAAATCATATAGTTGTTCAGATACAATATCTTCAAATATAAATGGACATTGTTCATTTATAACACCAAGACAATTTGTTGAATTAATTTCAGAAAATTCAAATACACATGAACATATATCTTATCCTATAATTGATTGTCGTTCTCAAATAGATTTCGGTTGTGAACGTATACGTTCATCATATAATATTAATTGTCGAGCAAAAATCATGGCAAGAAAATTACTAACAAAACGTTTAGAAGATGTCGAACCAAATTTAACATCATCATTAAGTAATTCTGATATTGTTATTCTTTATGATCAATCAACAGATGAACGAGCTGAAGAAAAACTACGTTCATTACCAATAAATCTTGTTATACAAGCAGCAAAAAAATCAAATAAAATAGTACATATTATTCAAGGTAAAAAAAATTAAACGAAAAAAAAAAAAACCATCAATAAAATGAAAATTTTATGAATAAATCTTAGGTGGTTTTGATGCAGTTAAAAATCAATATCCACATTTAATTGAATATGCTAGTGAAACAATATCAAAAGAGAAACATGAACAAGATCGTTTACCATCTACTCCGGAGACAGTAGATAAAGAAAACTTTACTATGACTCAAATTTTACCTCATATATTTGTAGGTATGTAATCATTTCCCTTTCTTATACATCTATTCTTATTTCAATTTGATTTTATGAAGAGAAAAACAAATTTTTGTCATTAAAATTTCAAGAGCACTACAAATATTGTCATAGTAAACAGTTCTATTGACGAATAAATCAAATAATAACAGAATAAATAAACGAAAACATTATTCAGTGAATCAAAGGATTGTAATACATTACGTCATTCAGTAAATAATATATAACATGAATAGTTAAATAAAATTTGAAACATTTTCGTTTATATCTTCAAGATAAAACTGATAAGAAAAGAAGAAAAAAAAACAAAAAAATACTATATTATATTATCTTTAGGTAATATAAATGATGCTCAAAATATTGATCGTTTAAATCAAAATGGTATTACACATATTGTAAATTCAACACCAGATTTACCATTTTTCTGGGAAAAAAAATGTCAATATATGCGAGTTGATGTACTTGATATACCATCTGAAAATATTCGAAAACATTTTGATAAAACTTTTCAATTTATTGGTTAGTTTACAATTGATCTATTTCTTAATATAAAAAATAAAATTCTTTCATAAATCTAGATGAAGCGCTGCATAAAAAAACTAACAGTGTTCTTGTTCATTGTTCGGCTGGTATTAGTCGTAGTCCAACATTGGTACTTGCTTATATGATTAAAAAGCATCATATGACATTAGACGAAGCATTTAATAAAATGCGCCAATTACGGCAAATAGTTGATCCTAATATTAGTTTTATTGTACAACTACGAGATTGGGAAAAACTACATCAAACGACAACAATAACAACAACAACAACTATTGAAGCAACTGATGACAATAATAATATGACCTGTACTGCGACGAGGTCGTCAGCATCAAGTAGTATATATTGTGGTTCAACTTCAAAAAGTAAAACAGATAAAAAACCACGTACAGAATCAGCTATTATTGTTAACTAGTAAAATATATTTTCTCAATAATGACACTAGTAGCTGATCAAAAAAAAAAAAAAGAAATATTTTTTGCAGTTTTCTTTTATTTTGTTTTCTTATTTTCATCTATTATTATTTTTGAAAAATGTATATATCTAGATATAAACTGAAAAGATAAATAGCATCTTTTCTGTAATCTTTGTTTTGCGGAAAAAACAACTCATCTGCGGATACAGAGTAACGCATTTCTTTTTTTTCTTGTTAATACAAGACGTAGCTTTTTTCTATATACTATATACATTCGTATATATAGAATAAAGAAACACTTCTTCAGTTCTTCCATATTGTTTTCTTTGTTTTTGCTATGAAATTATCTCTTTTTGTGTTTTTTTTTCTTTTTTTTGTTGTAATCGATTTTTATTGTTGTATATTATTATGATAGTGTGATGATAGAGCAAAATAACCTTGTCTTGCTTTCAACGTTCTTTGTGCGTATTGTACTTAGCATTTCATTCTGTAGACGATATTATTTATTGTTTTGTCGCTTTTATCATCTTGTTTATTTTTGCATTCAAAAAGAATGTACTATCATTATTAACAAAAAAAAGAAAAAAAACATGATGCTTTGTTTTTTAGCAGTCAATCAAAACAGATTGTAAATGAACAATATTCAAAAACAAAAAGAAAATTATCATTTCATCTAATAAAACTTTCAAACTATGAATAGTATAGCGATTTATTATGAAAATATTTTGAATGATATAAAATGAATTGTATTCAATAAAATCTTATTGTTTTTATCCTTTAGAAAGATTTATTTTTGTTTGTGTTTTGTTTCACTATTTGTTTTCTGTTTAATCAAACGAAAAATTATTCATAGATTCTCATGACTAAATAAAAATATCATACAAATATGTTTTTTGTATTCATGTGTTAATGAAAAGCAAATGTTTATGTTTTCGTTTTCCATAGTTTCATCGATTAAATTTGTTGAAAATAAAGATAGTCGCACATCATATGAAAATCTAGGATAATCTATGAGCAATAATTGCAAAATTATTATTTAAAATATTTTTTATAATTAAATGCAAAATGACACATAAGGCAGCCGTGTACCACACACTATCAGAAAATCTTCAAAGTATTACCTTTGGGCAACCAACATTTTCAACATAAAACCTATATTCTTTCTTACTATCTGTATACAATTTTCGATCTAGAAGAAGAATTGCAGCTCATCGATCTCGTCCATCTCCTACGATTGCGTATCATGATGAAAGTAAATGTACATTATTGAATTATGCAATCCAAAGTCGCACGTAGTCATCCTTGATAATCGTATATATCTTAATACGTTACGTGTGGGCTTATAAATTATCTTTTTGTCGTCCTGTTAAATAATCCATGCATAAAAAGTCGTGATAGTAAAAATAAATTATGTTTTTTTCAAACTTAGACGAGATAGTAATCATCCTTGCTTTCATGGTGGATTACATTGCATACAAAAAGAACAGCTGTCATAGAGATAGCATTTTAGTGTGAATGATACTAATTATATGATGATAACTAATGCTTATTGTTGAATGTACACGATCAAATTTTTTGTGCAAATTATACCTGCTAAAATAGAATAACCAAATAAGTTCATTTAAAATACATGAGAAAAAAAAAATCAATTCCATGAGTAAATGTTCTAGTGATCAACTATCAAATTTTCTATTTAGAAAAAAAGAAAATTCTTTTTAAATAAAAACAACAAATTATATATTATATTTATTTTTAACAAATTCTCATTGAGTCGTGTTAAAATTTTCAGAACAAGTCAAATCTTTAAAAATGTATTTATACGAGAAATAATCGAAAAGATTCGATCTTTCATTTATTTTTATCAAAAGAATATTACAAAAAAAAGAAGCGCAGTATATATCAATAAAAAAACCTTAAAATTATTATCTACCAATCAAGAGTGAAAATTTCGACACATTACATAAATTTTATTAACATCATCACTATTTTTTTATTTTGTTTTCTTTTTGTGTACTACATTTTTTCTATAATTGCGAAACATAGATATATTGATTGATATATATATATATATTAATATTAATGAAAAAAACGATTAAATTAAGGCTGTTCTAATTTATCTACCGTCATAATACGTAAGTGTAAGACATCATATATATAGTTTAATCTATCAGTTTATCTCTAAGTCATTTTTTTTGTCTCGATATTTTATAGACGGCATTTTTTCCTTGATTGTATGATTTGCCTTATCCATCATGTACAACTTGCAATTTCATATATAACATAGCATACGTCATCTGCAACCTGTCAACATTGATATAATAGCAGTTAGACAAAAGAAAAAAACCAATCATCACTCAGATAAATAAGAAAATCAAATATAAAATAAATGAAAAATTTATGTATATATATATATATATATCACGGTTATTTATATGAAATTTAAGGGTTGCAAAAGAACATAGGAGATATGGTTTTTGATCTCGATGTTCATCATCTTTTTTTTTCTATGTTCGATAAATTCAATTCAGTTAATATATAATGCAATCTTTGCATATATATATATATATATTCATATGTGTATATATGTAGGCAAACTGCACGATGAACGTAACTGGTTGTCGTTGTCGTCTCGGTTAAGTTGAATTTCATTTGGTAAAGTCTTTTCAAGGGACACTCTAAAGTATTCATTCGAGCGTGTCCATGAGAAAAACGAAACGAAACGAAACGAATGAATAAAAATGGTTGTTACTTTACAAATAAGAAGCCGCCCTCCTTTATCATTACTATTACCAATGATCATCACCTATCTACTGGCTTTTTTTTCCTTCTTTGGTTATTTCATTTTTTTTTTCTTTTTTTTTTTTTTTTTTTCTTATAACGGGTATAATAAACAGTAATGCTTGAGAAATTACGTTTTATCATTATCGTCATATTCGCGCACTAATCATTAATCCTTTTCCTTTTTTTATTACCCTGATGAATGTGAAATTGTCTGTATAATCAGTCGATTGTAGTGTTTTGTTTGATTTTGATAGTTATAGAATATGTCGAATAATATATATTATAATTCCGTGAAATCTCAACAACCACAATCAAATGCTTATAATTATGTTCGGCATCGTCGTCATCACCGTCATAGTTCTTATCATTCATCTCCAACACGACCAATTCATCATGTTTCTTCACATTCAACTCATCCTTTAACTAGGAATAATGATAATCATAATATACAACATCCTCCAGCACTAATATCAAATTCATTTTTATCATCAAATCAATCAACAGCTTATTTTCTTGATCGTATTGATTTAGAAAATTACACGACAACTATATTAAAGCAAACAGTTGAAAGTATCTTATCGAACACAAAACCTCGAGGTTAGTAATTAAAAATCAAACAATATACTTGTTTCATTAACTATTATTCGTCATATTATTTTTGTGCATTATTAGGTTTAAAGGTAAAAATATCATTACCAGACGATGGCTTAATTATTCACAATATAACTGATCCAAATCAATCATGGATATATAAAAAATCAGAATTACTTTATTTTTGGCGTGATCCTACTTATTTAAATATAATTGTTGTTGTTACATTTAATCGATCACGACAACATGCAAATCGACCCTATGCAGCATCAATATTTCGTTTACGCAATAATGATTCTACTCAAGCATTTCTTCAACAAGCTCAACTATTTTTTTCCAGTTTACCAATATCTCTTAGTAGTTTAAATACATCAAAATCTAGCAGAAATAAGTCAATTGATCGAGGAAGTCGAAAAGAAAATCGAATTATTACTGATCAACAATCTTTACCTCATAGTAAAATTAAAGCTCTTTCAACGATTAATGAACAACATTTTTCTAAAAAGAAGACTTTAACTAATCGTAATCAATCCCCACGACCAGCAAGTATTCGTCGTGTTACACGAGCTGAATTTGATCCTGGTAAAGCAGCAATAAACTCAAGAGCCCGTACTTATAATCGTCGATCATACAGTGAAACAACATCATCAACCGATTCTCAAATAGCTAATTCTTCGCCAGAAGTTTTATTATTTACAGAAAAAATGGATGATGATGACGATGATAAAATGACAAGTCTAAGTAATAATTTATCATTGGAAGAAATAACTGAATTAATGCGTGAATTAAAAGATTTACGAAATGAAATAACTTTATTAAAATTAGAAAAGAGAATTCAACCAGTTACATGTTCAATGAGTACAAGTCCATTAACTATTGATATTGAACGTTGTAAACAAACAACAGATTCATCAACAGCAACATCGCCAACATTTCCTGATATAGCATCATTATCCGAAGTTGATGCTGAAACACAAACTGATTTCAGTTTAATACATCATAGACGACGACAAACATCAAAAAAAAATAAAAAAACAATGATTGGATCAAGTGGTATTTCAACAACAAAGAACAAAAAAACTGAAGATTCACATAAAACAAATTCTAGAACTTATTCCAATAGTTCAACAAATACTGTATCTGATCAAGAAGGTAAACAAAACAATTTTAACAAATTATAAAAAAAGACGATGTTTTTGTTTCGCATTTTTTTGGTTCTCTCATTCGCAAAAAAAAAAAGAAATATTTGTCATTTCTTTTTATTTTCCTTTATCATGAAAGCTGTTCTTTAATTGTTGAAGTTTTAATATCATTGAAATGGTAAAGGTGTATAAAATCCAAAATTGGTACTGTCTCTGCTTGTTAATACTTATGTATCTTTCAAAGTAGAGTTTTATGCCGAGTTACTTCTTGATGATTTGATGATCACTACATAGTAGTTTTCAACAATTATAAAATTCTGTATTTTTTAACCTCAATAATATGTATTTCAAATGTTTTGACTTAGAAAAATTCATCCGAAAACCAACTTTAAGATTCAGCCTAAAAACAGAGCTCATCAGAATGTTGTCTGCAAAATCGCAATTAATACCAAAGCTTATGTCATACTATTAGAATCTATAACAGTCAATAACTAAACAATAAATGAATAATTTTGATATAATTTATTGTTTCACTGAATCTTGAAGATGATTTTGGATGAATTTTTCAACGAAGACAACAGTTCGCGAAAACATTTGAAATACACATAAATCAACTCAATTATCGATGTTAATCGTAATGCTGTTAAAAATTCCACTTTCAATGGTAACTTTCTGAATAAAAAAAAAACTTAAATAACAATAAAAAAAGTTACGAAATCATGTCTAAAATCGATTCTACTTGTGAATTCTCAAATGGACAGTGTTTGTTGAGGTTTTAGTATATAAAAATTTCTATGCAACAAATCGAATAAGACTTTATTGATCAACAAAAGAACAAGCAGTACCAAATTTTCATATAACATACTGTTGATTAGAAAAAACAACGATCCTGAAATGAAAGTAATATCGCTTGTTCATTACGCTAGCCTTTATCGAATCGATTTGAAATTATTAACAAAGTAACTCAATATAGAACTGCTCTGTGAAAGATTCATAAGTATTAACAAGGAAAGAATGGGTCTTCGTCCTTACTGTAGCATTCTTTTTAATAAGAAGATCTACTCTTTTACTTTTTTTGACTGTTCATACAATAAGAAGCAATACATTAGAAAAGTTATTTTTCTTTTTCATAGGAACAACATCTGAAAGTTCTTCTCAGGTGAATAATTTATCAAATGGTACAAATAAAACACTTGTACAAGAACAATATCAGCCAATGACCATATCAACACCACCTCGCCCAATATTAGTGAGAAGTCAAAATAGTTTTATGCCTTTAAATAATTCGCAATCTTATAAAATACAGAATGGTAATCCAAAAGTTTCTAATTTCAATTCTATTGAAGAAGGGTCATTGCCACTAGATATATCTACGACTATTGAAAAAGAAATGCCTAAATTTCTTTCTACAAATATTTCTTCTTCAAATCCAGAAATAATTAGACCCTCAGTACCAATAATTGCAGCAGGAACTACAAGTTTTCAACCATCATTAGAAAATTCAAATGTTCCTACGGAACATATCTATGAAAATATACCTATTTTAATACAACAAAATTCGAATCGTGAAAGTTATTATAATATACCTATTGTTAATGTAGATAATCAACAACAAAAACAACAGCAACAACAGGAACAACAACAACAACAACAACAACAACAAAATCAATCAAATGGTTATGCTTATTATCCTGTCACAAATAATCGTGAAACTGAAACTCAACAACAATATGTTATTCCAGGACAAACATTTTCTAATTCTCATCCAACAACAAATAATAATAATTCTGAAACTTTATCATCAACAATGAATATTCAACCACAAAAACCACAAATAATATCTGCTGGTCGTCATCGTAATCAACCAATATTTTTTGCAAATCATTTAACAAATCCAATATTTAATGTTGATAAACAATTATTAATAAATACAGTTGCTAATCAATTTGGTGTTGATCTTAATTCACCACAATTGCAACAACTAGTTACAAATCAACATTTATTTGCTGCACGTAGGCGTACATTTGCTAATATGGTTTGGCAATTAACACCTGATGAAGAAACTGCTCTATGTTCACCAAACACAACATCACACACTGATATTATTGATACAGATGCAATTGATATAAATTATTCAACAAATCGATCAATATTAAAAGCAGCTAATCGTTTTCAGTCAATATCTAAACGACGAAGTATTAGTTGGGATACTACTTTAGGTTAATACTCATTGTATATCTATATTCTTGTCTTTTTTTTTTTTTTTTGTACGACATATTTTTGTATTATTCTTTCGAATAATCATTATTTCAAAACAAAATATATATATATTTATTATTATTGATATTATTGTAATACATTTGTTTATTGTTATTGAATATTGTTTCAATATGTATAGTTACGATTGAAATTTTCTTCAAGTATAAAAAAATTCAGTATATTCTACCCATGTAGTAAGCATATCATTTATAAATAAATCATAAAAAAGCAATTTGTGTTCGAGCTAAAGTGCATATTTTATGTGTAAATATGTGATTTGTTAAAATTAAATTATTTTCTTTTTCATATCTCTATATGTATGTATATACGCATAATGAAAAAAAAAGATTTATATATTCATACAAATCGTAATCAGTTTGTCGAACAAGGTCTTCTTCAATTCATGTTGCCTATATATAGATATATGCAATATGATTATGTCGTATCGAATTACTTCAGTCAGCCAATATTATCATCATTCAATGAACATTACTTTTAAAATGATTAATCGTTTTTTCTGTATGTTAAATAAAGAAGATTCATTTCTTAAGATTCAAAAATATAATAACAAACATACAAAACAGGAATTAACTAACTAGTATAAATATAGAAAAATTCCTTTAATGAAATAATGTTATAAAACTGAAAGTGACAGGTTCTAAGTGATCAAATGAAACATATGAACGAGGACGTTTATCATCACGCTACTTGCCAAGTTTACTTTTGTATGTATGATGAAATAAAAACCTGTTCATGACCTATTGACCTTGTATTGAAAAATATCATTTGTAATAATTGTCTCATAAGAATTTTGTTTCTAATAAAAAAGGTCTGAATTATTATTTTGTTTTCATATATATTCAAAATATTTTGATATATCAGTTACAAGTGTTGAATCAAACCTTTATTTGATAGTTTCGAAAATATATTCACACTTGATGAAGTCATTGTTAAATAAAATGTTATAGTAATTTCTTGATATCATTAAAGCCAATTAATAAGAACTTTATTATTACAATGAAGAGTTTTATGAATTTGAAAATGAAGAAAAATTGATATTGCTATATAAAATAATGTCATTGAACCAAGCATAGTCCTTCTGAGGCTCAAATGTAGAACTCACATGTGCTTTTTTACTGGTGCTTCATGCTTGATTAGCTATTTAACTGATAAATAAGCATGTTGTTCATATTCAAGCTATAACTTTATGAATACACGCTTTCAATATTCATCATGCGATGATTGTGACGTTTCAAAAGATCACCACCATTAATCATTGACATCTTTAATATAAATTTTTATTTGCACAAAAATCAGAAACTGTATCATTTCGAACATCTCTTGGAAAAAGTTTGTCACCATTTGTTTTTGATTGCTATGAAAACGTCCTTAGTGACCCCGTTGACCTTTCTTCTCGTTCCATCTGCCATCTGTTGCCATTGACTTCGATTGTTAAGATCTGGGGAGAAGCCACAAAACCTCGACATAAACTTACACTCACTATTGTTCTTCAAAAATTAATGTGAGGACCACAAAAATTACTATCTAATTGAAACAAACTGACAAGATCGTAGTGTCATGTATTCCATAAACAGAACTGTTAACGAATTTCAATTGATAAATTATGAAGATATTCTTGCAATTGTTCATTCTCACTTTTGTCTTCATCAATAATTCTATTTTTAAGAATAAAGGTATTAAGATATCTGAGTGTTATAACATCGAGGATATTTTCTCCAAAATGTTTTAATTAAATCATTCATTGCTGTTATTTCACTTTTCAAATTTAAACCTGTAAGTATTTTACTTATAATTGTTTGAAGTTCTATATCATTTCGAGCATTACGTAATTGTTCAATATAATGATCATTTCATGTAAAATTATGTCGATTATGAAATGATTTTATTCGTAAATTGAGAATTAATTGAAGATTTTGATTGATGTATATGATTGAATGTATTTAATAGATTGACATTGAAAAATAAAATTTGATTATGAATGTGAGACAGAAACAACACATACATTCTCACAATAAGAGTTATTGATGATATGGATTTTTTGTATTGCTCGGTATTTTCATGAATTTTTAGTTCTATTTTGATAAAGAAATTTCAATCGATTGTGATAGATGATTACCAACAGCTGAAAATGTATTTGCTAAAAGAAATTTTGGTTGTTGATTGAGATCGATTTCTTTTATAAATAATAATTGAACAAATTCGATGAACATCAGAATTAAATAATGAAAAAAAGAAAATGAAGTTCTGATTGGTTATCAATACTTGTTTGAAGTGGCTAAAAGCAATAATATATGATTTCTCAGCATGTTTATTAAGTATTTTCAAAAGATTCAGTATGGATGAAACTTTTTGAGAACGAGTATCAACAATAATCATTTCGTAATATTTTGATTAGTTTTTCATTTTTTGAAATGTTGCAAGCAGTTATTTGAGTTCAAAGAGTAATAGTGAAAATTCATTTGAATATCATTATCACAAAAAAGTGAAAAAGAACACATTTGAACTCCCTTTTTTTGTTCTTGGCCATTGGATATAATGATCTTATTAGTTTGTATTTAAATAATTCTAATAAAAAAATAAAACTTGATATTTGTTCCGATAAATTAAGCAATTAACTGAATAATTTCTATAGAATCGTACATCTAAATACAGTAGTGGTCAAAAATTTGTTAGACCAAAGTATTTTTCACCATTCTCTAGAATACTAAGCATTTAACTCAAATGCAGTAGTAACTTAAATAGGCAATGAATTTCTTTTTCAAATTTGTTCCATAAAGAAATTTCATAGATGAACTATGAAAGCAAGGTAATTGAAAAACCAAACACGATAGTTTTTAAGTCTAAGAAAACTATGTGAGATTTGGTTAGTAGTAAGACAAGAACAAAATTGATGCTTTTTTTTATTATTTTTGATCAATTTTAAATAAAAAGAAACTTATTTTAATCAAAAAAATCAAACCAATGCAAGAAATGAACCAAAAGCATGAAATTTTCATCGTTTTTGTCCAGGATATCAATTATTTTATTAAAATTATTGAAAACCATGAATCCTGTTTTTTAGCTGTAGGGTATCGTACACTGTTTTAAAATATAAAATTTAAAAAGTCATGCTACAGATACATACAGTATTTGAGAAGATTTTGACACAAAATATCGAAAATAAATGATGAAAGGTTTTAAGTAAGTACTAACTAATGATTGTTTTCCGAATTAAATTACATATACGGACATCAAAACTCGAACAATGCGATTATCAAGCAAAAACATCTGCAGCTTATAAACTTCGTTTTTGTAAGATTCAAAAAATAGATTTTTTAAAAATTTTAGTGGCTTTATTTATTGTTGAGAGAATAACATTGGTTGTATGAGTGAGATTGAGAGTGAAAAGAAAAATTTTACTCACATTTTGATAATTCAAAATAATAAGTTCAATATTAATCTTATCAATATGAACGATAGACAATTTCCTTTATTACTGATCGAAAGTCAAAATGTTTTCTAAAGGAATGTAATTATGTTTTATTTAGATATGTTGTTGTGTCTGTCTGACTGATATTTTACAAAATCCTTCGCGTTTTTCTTCAATCTCCATTTCGTCTATATCAGTTTTTCTTGATGTTGTGATATGACCAAAAGAAAACTGTAGGATATATCTAGAATAGTATTCATTCAATTTTCAACTTTCTATTTATATTGAACTATCTTGAAGTATTCTTTGTTTTCCATACATAATGTAGTAAATGATTAAACCGATTTTTAAAATATTTTTTTTTCACAACGTACATCACTTTTTAAAGACCACGTATAAATGAGAATCGAGCAAAATTTTTTCTAGCCTCTTCCTTTACTATATCGAAGTAAGGCTGAGGTGTGGGTGTGGACGAAGAAAGCACATACACAGCCACACGCACACCTACACACACAAAGATAAGAAATGTATAATGTTGCCTAGATGTAAAGCTAATAAAAGAGTCACTCGATACACAACCCACGTGTCTAGCATACACAACATCCAGCGAAGTTTGAAACAACCATCATTGTAATTTCTTCGTCATATTTTGCGTTGATTATTTCACTTTAGTAAGTGACTTATTACGCTGATCGCAAGACAAAAATCGAGTATTTCAAGCATCGTACACATAGTGGACATATGACCAGAATAGTAATTACAAAGAATCGACGCAGAAATTAAACCGATACTCATGAGGGACTTCTGGTTATCAGATCGGTTGATGATTGTTTCTTAGTCAGCAGTCTTTCTTATTTATTTCCCTGCATCTATTCCACACATAATCACTAATTTTATTGTTCTCTATGCCAAAGACTTGTCTATGTTTTACATAATGACCTTTCTACCTTTTCGTTCCATTGTATTAATGACCTTGTGCGATTTTCGATTCTAGGATCGAACTCTCAGAGGTGCGCGAATACAAGTACAATTTGAACTCTCAATTATATACTTTCATAAATCAAATATGTACTCTGACTATCATATGACTGGGAAAAAGTTTAGAATTTGTGGGAACATACTCTCATGTAAATATATGAGAGTATATTTCCACCGATTCTACACTATTCCCCAGTACATATGGTACTAACAGTACATGAGAGTACATCCCACAGATTCTAACCTTTTCCCCAGTACATACGACGATCAGAGTACACGACAGTACTGTACTGTCGTGTACTCTGATCGTCGTATGTACTGGAAAAAAGTTTAGAATCCGTGGTGATGTACTTTCATGTACTCTGATCGCTGTATGTACTGGGAAAAAGTATAGAATCCACGGGGATGTACCAAGGAGGAAAAAGCGAGACTCCAAAGTTGGAGTACAGCTGCAGTAGAGCTGGAGTACAGTGGAGTATAGGTGGAGTACAGATGGAGTACAGCTGGAGTATAGGTGGAGTACAGGTGGAGTATAGGTGGAGTACAGGTGGAGTACAGCTGAAGTAGAGCTGGAGTACAGTGGAGTATGGGTGGAGTACAGGTGGAGTACAATTGGAGTAAAGTTGGAGTACAATTGGAGTACAGCTGGAGTACAGTAGGAGTGCGGGTGGACTGCAGTGGAGTCTAGCTGAAGTCTAGTGTGTACGTACTCCTCATACTTCAGGTAGACACCACTGCACTTCAGCTATACTCCGGAGTACGAGTCTCTCTTTTCCCCCCTTGAACCCAGTACACAATAGTACATGAGAGTACATCCCCACCGGTTCTAAATTTATGGAGGTGATGTTGATTTCAGAGTACATTTTGTACTCGTACTCGCGTAGCCCTCGAATTATCACTATAATCTGACTAGTAATTAGATAAGTTAAGGAATAAAGACCATGTTCGGATAATTCTAAAACATGGGCAGCGACAGTTGACTCTTTGCGGCACAGAGAAATGCGTAGCAGTGAAGGCAAAAAACCTATAGATAGTGAAGCGTGAGCATGTCTTTTTGAACTGAGAATCTTGGGTATAAACACACATGACATCATAAACGCGAGAGAACTGCCGGAAGTCACTGGAAAACTAGTAAAAATGTATAAAATGAGAAAAAATTACGCGGTTTTAGAACTGGTGCCATTTGTAGCATGTTGAAACACATTGAAAATTCTTGTAATCGCTATTTTTACAGTACAAACGGTTCAGACACTATTTTAATAAAATCTAAAAGCATATAAACGAGTTGCTCCGAGAGTCCTACGTGCTTGGAAAATGAAGATAGTAGTAAGTTATGTTTTACGTAACATGATAATGCGTAGTTTAAGAAAATAGCCCATCAGGATGTCAATTATAGCCTACCCTAAATCATAGGATGGTCTGTATCTGTATGACATTGTTTGATTTCCTCGTAATAAAAACACTCGAGTGATAAGCGCTTTATTGTTTCAGAGACTTGAATTTCTGTTTACCTTTGAAATTCATTCATTTTTTAAAATGGCCACTGACGATAGTGGCGATCCCGCGCAACACTTTTTGCGTCTATCTGATATTGCACAAGAACCACGTGAAATGCTCATGCCAATCAGTGGCTATGAGAATGTACCACTTGTACCACTTGAAAGTGTTGTCGAACCTCTCATTCGTCTTTTACCCGCCATTCAAAGCTATGCTTATGCTGCTAAAAAACGATGTAAAAGGCCACCACCTGATGGATTAACTGTCGATGAGTTTGCTTCAATCATGCTCTACTCGATGAGTTGGAAACCATCTGACAAATGCCTCTATCATGCTTTAAATGCTACTCTGCGATTGGAGGAGAGAGAAAAACTCGAACCCTGGTTCTTATATCTTAAACTATTTCTCACTGCACTGTCACGACTTCCATCCCAACGTGGTACTGTCTTTCGTGGTGTTAAACTAGATCTACATAACAAGTACCCGAAAGGCGAAACAACTACCTGGTGGGGTTTCTCTTCATGTACTGCCTTGATTGAAGTTCTACAATCTGAGCTCTTTTTGGGCAAAACAGGAACAAGAACAATGTTTACGATCGAATGTGATTCGGGCAAAGACATAAGAAAACATTCATTTTATCCAAAAGAAGATGAAATATTACTTCTTGCTGCCACACAATTTAAAGTTATCGGTTGTTTGGATAATGGCAATAATTATTACACAATCCACTTGAAAGAAATGAAATCTCAATTTCCTTTATTGCTACCAGTGACACCCCTCTATGATTCAAGTAAGCTACTAAGTATCAAGAGCATATTGAAATATATTAAAAGTTTCACAAGAAAGCTATTAAAAGATGAGCCTTATTTTTTCATTGCAGGTGCTTCGACAAAAGCTGCGGTGGACGTGACCAAAATAGAGAAAGAAGAACACACCAGTAAACTTCAAGTAATTTAAACAATTTCTTAGTGCTCTTTTCTCTGTTTAAATCTATCTCATTTTGTTCATAGACCCATACAGCCGCAATAGCAACAGTCACCTCTAGTACTATAAACACTGGAATTAGTTCCGTCACTGAAAAGGTTAGACAATAGTCACTCTAGAAAATGGTTATTTATCGAATGTCTCATGCTTGTAGATGTCAGTCGTGAAACTCAATACTTCAACCACCAAAGGTAGGGTATCACTGACTATCAACTTGAAAGTTAGAATGATTAGTGATGGTGAGAGTTTTGTGACTAACATCATCCTTATTTTCTGGAATAAATGTCACAACTAACTTATAGACAAGAATCTTGTGTCACTTATCAGAATGAGATTGCCATCTTATTTATATTTTTACCGTGATGTCTTCGCGAAATTATGTGAAAATTTTAAAATAAAAAGAATTCAAGGGTTCTGTCTTGTAAGGAAATTTTTTACTCTCAGATTGTGTTGGTTAGAGAGAGGGTTCTGCTCAAATTATTGAAATGTGGCATCACTGGTCGAATAGCTCTTGAAAATGAACCGTAAAAGTACATGGAACTACTAGAAGCTCATAATCTGATTGAGCATTAAGTAAAAATTAGAAACAAACTATGACTTTCCGTTCATTCTGTCATCGTCTAATAATGAATAAATGTTCACTTCGTTGGCTGTCTGGAGAATACCATTGTAGATACGATCGTTTTCTCATTGGACGACAACTATGCATATAAGAGTTGCCCTAGATGACAGCTGATAGAATTCTTTTGGATCTTGCTCCGCTTAAAAGCGCATTTTTTTTTGTTTTTGGAAAAAGCTATCTTGTTCCTAGTGCAAAATATTCCTAAGAAAATCAGGATTATATTTGACTATTGATGTACAAGTCTCATTTTTTATATCAACTGTCCCTTCTTTTCAGAGTAGTCAGCTAAAATTGATTAAAATTTCTGAATCGACTAAAAAAACTAGTCCACCGATTATTATTCATTATTCCAATTATAGTGGGATTTTGACCAAAAATCGATTTTAATGTTGCTAATCGACTAAAATCTCCTCAATCAAGAAAAATCAAATTCATGGGTTTTCAATCAACTAATAATGCTTATTGTAGCTAGAAACAAGTTATCATCAAAAGTCAATATTAATTTTGTCAATGAATTTTAAAGGAGTTAGTATATATCAGTAAATTGTAGACAGAGGCAAATTATTCAGGCAAAGGCAAGGGATGTGTGTGCGTGTGTGTGCGTGTGTGTGAGTATCGGTGTCGGGTATGTGCGAATGATATGCGGAAGACCTTTACTCAAAACTAAAGCATGCCAGACTCTAAGTCGCATTCAACCAACAGAAAGTTTTGAAACTCCAGACGATCAGATGCGGATCCGGAAACAACTCGATGGGCTCTAAGAGGAAATAGCTCGTAGTTAGACAATAAGTCAATGGGCAATATCAGTGTTCGATATACATTATAGTGCAAGCAAGTACGGATTACCTGGTCCCTCTCTTCTGTTTGCTTAGCCTGTACCTTACTTAAAGCAGTTCTTCATAGTGATAATGGTGAATTATAAAAGATTCGAATAGCGAATAATTAGTTCTACTCGTAATTTCTGTTTATTGCGGAAATAAGCAATATTTCACTAGGTTAATTGATCTTTATCGACTTTCTCGTTTTCAATCGACTGTAATCGATTTCTGATGCAATTGTATAATATCAATTAGTAACTCTACATATTAGTTTTAACTTTACTTTATTTGCAAAACTTTAGCTAGGTGACATCATCATGATCTCTAAATATAAGCAATCCAAAGAAATCATGAAAAATTAGAGTGTCACGTTCGAATCTTGAGAAAAGCGCTGATCTTCTGTGTGTATGATTAAAATCGACTAGCAAGTGTTAGTAGATTAAAACTGATTAACAGGTAATACGAGGATGGAGCAGACTGATCACTGATAAGAGGTTAAAACCGATTAACAGATAGCATAGAATTGAAACAGATAATTACCATGTAAAAAAATTCAGAAAAGGTCTGATTTCAATTGGTGTTTTTCGACTGTTTTTTTGCATTGGTAAGTTTTCTATTTAGTTTTATTTTATCTTATCGTTTATAAACCAGTACAGTAGTATAAAAAAATGAATCAAATCAGACGGAAGTCAAATACATTAGTATTTCCACAAAACCTATTGTGAAACAAGATATAAATTACAATCGATTTGGATTGTACATATATGATTTTGAAATTTCAATCAATTTTAATCCCTCAAATTTTCACGGAGTGTAACGTGTGATTGTGTATCTGAGTCTGTGGTGTCGGATGACTGGAGTGAGTGTGCGTGTAGGTATGGTTTAATTATGTTTTCGTGCTTCTATACAAACACACAACAACACACCTGCGCACACGCCAGAATTAGCTTTCGAAAATTCAGTTGCTCATTTATTGGTAGAGTAACACATGCTACCGGCAACGTCTTCCACACAAAAAGATAATTGTAAGCGTTATTGATCTTTTATGTAGTATTAGAAAAGTATCCTTGAATTTCACGTCTGGAATTGGAAGATCTAAGCCAATGAGTTTTGTTACTAAATCAAAATGCAAATGTTTTTCTCACTTTAGACAAGCCTTGGCTTAAGTGTCAGTTCCACAATACTGATCAAATATCCATTAAGAAGCCCGAAGAGTTTAGAATCAGTTGGAAAGATTTTGCTCCGTTGCAAACAATCAGCTTTGATGTAGTGGATCGTATTTATGGTTCGATGTTTGGTTTGACTGTAGGTGATGCTCTAGGTGCTCATGTTGAATTCAGACCTAACAGCTATTTAATTTCTAATCCAGTGATGGATTTAGTAGGAGGAGGAACATGGAGTCTACAGCGGGGACAGGTAAGAAATCAAATTATAAGAATTGCATAGCAGTTCGTTTTTGCAGTTCACCGACGGCACCTCTATGGCGCTTTGTTTGGCCAGTTCGCTAATTGCTTGTCGAGACTTTGTTCCATACGACCAATTGGTTCGCTACAAGTGGTGGTATCAATATGGCTACATGTCATCAACCGGTTATTGTTTCGGCAGTGATACAGCCACTCGGCAGTCTATCCAAGAATTTGAAAAGCGTCAAAAGAAATTTGCACACGATCATGACATTCTCTTGGATCAAATGGACTATCTATCTGATCGTGATCTTCTTCAAGCATTCGATGTGTATTGCAGCAAAGAGACTGTGGCTGATAACGGAGTCCTGATGTGTCTCGCACCTGTACCGCTCTTCTTCTTCCGATGCCCAGAAGTAGCCGTTGAGTATTCGGGCATTAGTGGCCAAATCACCCATGGAGACGAGAAAGCTTATGATGCATGTCGTTATTATGGAGCTCTAATTGTAGCTGCTATTCTAGGTGAAGATAAAGATCAACTGATAAGTAATACATTTTACGATAATCATCGAGAATGGTTCGGTGATAAAACCCTTCATCCTGAAATCATGACGATTGCTCAAGGATCGTATAAAAAAGAAGGTGGATATCAAGATGGAATTCGAGGGAAAGAATATGTTGTTAATTCTCTGGAAGCTGCTTTATGGGCCTTTTGGAGTGACAAGAACTCGTTCAGGATAGGGGCACTCAAAGCCGTTAATCTGAGTGATGATACAGATACAACAGCAGCTATCTACGGTCAATTGGCCGGTGCCTACTACGGCTACAGGAAGTTATCAGAAGAATGGCTGGAATGCATCTATGCCGAAGAGTTCATTTTATGCGTGAGCAGCTGGATATCGCTTGAAGGAGAAAAATGGTTTATAAATCAAACTACTCCAAACACAATAGAACTAATAAATTCTACTCATCCCAATTCGCTCATTTTGAAATCGATTACGTCGAACACTCTCAAGCCAGAATCGCAGCTAAACTGCAAGACCTTACGGTTAAGGACATCATGCCGAATATCCTTGTGCGCAAGGCAATTGATCCTAACGGTCGTATAGGACATTTCTATGATGGATGGCAGGATCGTATTTTACTATTTCAAGGTATCAATTTGGATATGAGAGAAGATTACTCGTGTCCACCAATAAAATGTGAAATAAAAAGTGGTGACAAGCTTGAAAATCAAAATCTCCTTCAATTCATCGATTTTCCTACCGACCTTTGATTGAGTGTGCTATCGAACTTGGTTGCGCCTAATGGCATTGCTTCAGTTGTCAATTATCCATTTGTAATCGACGAATGTACTCGTATCTTCTATTATTCATTCATTGTTCGAAACCAAACATTAATTCATGAGAGCAGCTTTCAACAACAAATGTGTACAGCTCCTGCTACTCACGTCATTACTGCAATAGAGTCGGGCATCGATGTTGTCGTCCTACTGAGACTACCGTCTGATGATACGAAAATGATCGATGCCACCCTTGGTAAAATATGCCACTGTGTGAAACATGAGACGGAACTAATTAATGATGAACAAGCACTGAATGGAATTCTTTCTACATATGTATATTCAAACAGAGCTGATTTAGTAGGTCAGCCAACATTACTCAAAGTGTGTCAAGCAATTCTGAAAGTTAAGAAGGATACTTCTAATCAACAACCTTGCAATTATATTCTTCATCCAATCAATATCTTTTATTCCGATAGAAATGAAGAGAACATCACATTTATTCCCATTGAACCAAAAATCGCAGCAAGGATTGAAAACCATTGGCTTCGATTATCCTGTATGAGTAAAATATGGGAAACATTTCGAAAAAATACAAATTCCGATGTTTTGGAAATTGACCTAAAAGAACAGTTCGACGCGATGCACACTAGAGTCTCAGAATTAGCGAAGCAATATGATGAGGAAAAGAAACAATGCCGACATTTGATTGCACGTATACGCCAAGGTAAAGAGCCGCAAGTGGATATCGAACGTTACTTACAAATCGAGGAAAAAGAAACGAAGTTGAAGTGCACCATCGGCAATTTAAAGCGTAATCTGAGAAATCTAGAAGAAAAACAGGATTTTATCAAGGATTTGAAAAACCAAGGATTTGATTACTTGAATGCCGAGAGATATGGTATCAACCAAGGCGATAATGAAGATGAGATCCAAAGAAAGCTAATTAACGATGGACAGCAACAATGCGTACTGTGCTCCAATGACAGGTTAAACGCAGCGCATTGGTCACAATTGGAAGACATATTGACATTGATGGCTAATGAGCGTGCAGGAAACCTCGAGCTGAATCTAGTTTATGTCGATTTCTCCTACTGTTCATACGAGCTAAACATGATAAAAAAGTTTGCCTCATCGAACTATATTCCAACTTCTGATGTGTGCGATTCTTTTATGCAGACAATGAAAAAATCTGACTCTCGCCTAGTTGAACCGTCTATCGATAAGATGATCAATATTGTTTTCGTCGGTAAATCAGGAGTCGGCACATCGACACTAATAAATACAATCGCCAACTGTCTACAATTCAGAACACTCTCAGAAGCTCAATCGAGTAAATCTACTCTGCATAAGTGTGTCTCATTTATATTTACACAAATGACTGATGAGAAAACAAAGATCATTCAACTTGGCAATGACGATCCCAACAAAGATCATAACCATCCTGGCCAGTCTACAACTCAGCGTTGCAAATCATACACATTCGATGTCGGAAATGGGCAACAACTATGCATCATTGATACTCCTGGCTTTTCTGATGCACATGGTCAAGCTCACGACGAGATAACAATGCAGCACGTACTATCGTACATCTCGAACCTAACGCATTTGAATGCTATCTGTATTCTGATAGAGTCGGGTGACACTGAACTCACTTCCTATGAGGAAATGTTGGTGCAGTTGCTAAATTTTCTTGGAAAAGAAGTGCATGACAAATTTCTCTTGTTTTTCACCAAACATCTATCCATCTCGAACGATGATGATGATAAAAGAAACGCTCGTGTTCGATCACTGCTCCAATCACTCTCGCTTGACAACATCCATCTGAAACATGAGCGCATACTTGTATTTGATAGTACATACTTTCTTCACTTGACTCGGGCACGTTGGTTCGATCCTCATGAGCCGAAGTGTGAGCAGAGCTGGTCAATTTCAAAGCAGGGAGTAGAGCGACTTCTGAATTATTTTTGTCAAAGCAATCGCCCGTATATCATAGATAGAGGATTACAAGAAGTGGAATGTGCCCGACTCGAAATCCTGCAAATGATTCGTCCAATAATGGAATCAATGCGAAATATTCTTCGTAATTCTATTCTACACTAATCAGGATCTTCCTCTAAATGGATCGAACTACATCCGAAACTTATTCAACAATCCTCTGCTATATGTTACTTGTGCCAGCGTCGAATTCGCCAATATAATAGTTTTTAGATCACCTGTGACTCTTTGCACAAGTATCGAAATCACTGTGAACATTGTTTATGTGACACAAAGCAGCATTTGCAGATTGATTACCAACTTGATTATGAATTAGTCGACAGAGTAAACTATCAACTAGATGAGTTGACCGCTTGGTATGCAGAACTCTTTTCTGCAAGCGTGCACTTCTCTCATTTCCTCATATATGTCATTGAGTATTCGAGCGATGATCTATTCTTAACTAGTATCGATCGGATGATTAATGACGAGAATTACATATGTGACACTGAACTTCAGCACGATTTCAATTCGTATTTACTTAAGAAACTTCTAGAACTCAAAGCTGATTATAAACAAAGCACGAGAGACATGCTACAGAGACCTGAAGACAACGATTTAATCATTATTAACGATTACATCGAAAGTGTCAGACAGATTTCCATGGTAAAAATACAATTGAATGCCGCCAAAGGAATAAAAGACACCTCTATATAGATGTGTTGTTACTACGAACTACCGAAATGATCTCTCGAGTTACTGACTGTATCCAATTGAGATTTTCAAATTTGTTTTAATAAATTTATTCTTCACATTTTATATTAATTCACATCATCATGCGCTTTACCAACATTTTACTAGTCTTGGCAGATAAGGGTGTGGGTGTGGCTATGGATGTATATGCTTGCTTCACCTTCACTCACACTCACACCCACATTTATAAACAAAAATTTGAGAACTTGCTTTCACTCAGCATGAATAACAGTTTTCTCTGTGATAAAAATAAGACTTACTTGGAGCTATATAAGTGTGGGATAATGAAAGAACCACCAACAGACTTCATGTCCACATAATAATAACATGTTTTTATGAGAAAATTGAGTCATTATAATTTTAAGTTTTCTATGCAACTTACAAAGTTCATTTTTTTCTCACTGTGACTCGTACAAATTGATGGTTGATAAACATCTTTGATTGAATGCGTATAACAAATATTACAGCTTTCATTCAGCTTATTTTACTTTCCTATAAATAGATTTTCAAAATTCCTGTTAACAAGACTTTGATAGACGCAAGGATAAAGGTCAAATAATTAAAATCAGGTCTTGTCACGATGAATGATAACAAATAATTGTGGGGTGTGAGTAGAGGTGTTAGCCGATCCTTTTATCGGCGGCGCGTAAAGTCCGCCGAGGAAGCCGTTCTCGGCGGCGGCGGCGGCGAAATCCTTCGTATATCATTTCAGTCTTTCTGTGGTCCCCTACTACTTAGACAAACATTAGACGTTTAGTTCTCACAGAAATATAACGTTGTATACTTCTTGCAACGTGGATCTCTCCTTTTCTAAAAAGTTGTTCCACTATACTTCCGTTTATTTTGTCATACCTGGGAAATACGGTGCTTCTTTCAATTCTTCACTGAAACAATCCATGTATGTATCATATAATTTGTTTAAATGAAAAGGATTGAGTGCCGCGTAAGAACGAATATCATCGACAGTGTTGACAATACCATATGCCATCAAAAAAATCTTGAAAACCTTCACTAGATACAATAGAAAATGATAGTAGATCACGGCAGCACATTAACGTTAAATCAGAAGCAAGCCTTTCTTTACGATCTTTGTTCGATTTCGTTGTTGCATATGTTGACGGTTTGAAGAAGTTTGAAACATGCTCAGCAGTGATTTTCACTTGTTCTTTATTAACGATTCCGTGTTTCGTAGAAAGATGTAAAAGCATATTTCCAGTGCTCACGTTCTCAGTGTAATGAGTAAGTTGTTTCTGTATCGCTAATGACGACAATGGATCATCAGGATGCTCATCGAGTTGTTTGACAAAGCAAATCTTGCAATAAATAGGATAGTTATCGATCGCTTTTTTCGTTTTTAAGGATGTCAGTTGACCAAAGTATGACTATGCAAGAGATTGACCGGTCTTGAAAGAACGAAGTGTGATGTAAATATCTCGAACACAGTGCATCATTCTAGCGGAGTCACCAGTTTTTCTTCACTTGCCAGATATAATACAATGTTAGCAATAATGTCAGTTGTGCCAATGAATGTGTAATGCAAACGCAACTATTTATATGTTTCATACCTTTTTGTTCTGTCACCTAATTGGTTATTTAGAAAAGGAAAAAGTTTGAACTATACATTCATTCAATCGACGGCGGCGAGAAATCGGTGGCTAACACCTCTAGGTGTGAGCGTGGATGTGGGTGAAGGTGAAGAAAGCATATACACCCTCACCCTAACTCTTTGATGATTGATGCTAAAAAAACGATGGTTCACTATGATTCGCTCAAAGTTCTTCTATTCTTGCTGGATCACAGTTTTCAATCTATACGATGCTAAAACTTTGCCTATTCATGCTGATTCTTAGACATCACTCCATATTAAATAGTTCATTAAAGCAACATCTGAAATCCCTTGTATAACCACTTGTTTGGTATTATAACTTTGATGTTATCTTCTTTGATATGAATTATTGCCTCTCTTGCTGGATAACTCTGGTCATTGTATTGATGAAGATTCATTCTCTTTCGTTTATGAACATAAAATAGACGAATAATATCATATTTGATACACGATTTTATAATATGATCAATATAGCATCTTCTACTGATTATAGAACCAAGCGCAATCAAGGGTGTAGGTGTAGAATATCACGAATAACACAACAATGTAGTTCCAATACCGATACTAATATAGTATCTTATAGTGATTAAAGAAATAGTTGGAGAATTTTCTGTATTAATACACGATGAAGTACAACAGGCAATGGTGCCGTGTTAATACACAATGCTGATGATCAGAAGTTGATTTTTTTATTTTGTTTTTAGCATGATTGACGCCGTTTTCTAACCTTATTGACGATACAGATGATGATAGGTTTTGTTATTCGTTCAGTCACAAAATATGAATTTTTACCACAATGCTTTCGATTTCATCAGATATTTAACTACAAGACATTCGTCAATACGTATCTGAATATAATGACAAGAATGGTAATATGAGAACAAAAAAAGGATATAAGAATTATGAAATCTATGTGATTGTTGGTGAGTAAAACTTTGTATGAAACAATCTTTTATCGGAAAAGCGAAATCTTCAATGTTTAATTTGATCATTTTGTGTTTAAACAATAAGTATTTAAACATAATAAAAACTGATAAAAAACTAAATGTTTTTTGATAAACAAAAGCAGCATTGTTGTTTGTGGTTATTTACTTTTGACACTGAACTGGTTCAAAATCTTGATATTTCGGTATAGCATCAAGAGGTTCAGCCTCAAATTGTCCTGCTCGAGCAAAAACTGATAGACGTGGAGCTTTATTGTAATATTCTTGCCATTGTTTTGACGATTCTGGTGTCCATTTCAAATCGAGAAGCCATTTTTGAGCAGCAAAATAATCAAATGGTGCTCTATTTAATGAATTAAACTCAATTTTCAATATTCTATTCAATGAAAAGAACTTACGAAGAATTGATGATATCTTGTAATGATTGAACTGTATTCATCGTGAAACATACAGTGAGATCATCCATTCGAGGATAATAAGTGAGAAAATTTAAACACATTTCATCTCTTGTTTTTTCTCCACCCTAAAAAAAATTTTTCAATATTAATAAGATAAATAATATGCATACCAATGTAACTTCGTTTTTGTTCATTGTATTATAAATACATCGAGTAGCAAATTCATCTCCCTTAAGAACAACAAAATATAAAACGTAAAAAAATTCAATCAATTTTTTTACTGGAAACAGTTGTATTGTTTTTGCCAAACGATTTTCAAATTGATAATTAAAATGATATGATTCAGCATTAAATAAATATTCAACAGCTGTCTTATTACGAATTAACTTAGTCCATACACTAACACCTAATTGAAAATAAATTCAAATATTTCTAATTATAACATATGATGTGTTCTATGAGTATCCCAGGAAACTTAATGAAATACAAGTATAAGTGATATACTGTTATACCTCTATTATCTGCAACCTACTTTTAAGTGAATATATACTGATATCTTCATAACCTATGTAAGGATATGTATGGATATAAAAGATACTTAATATTACACAGAAGCAAATTAAACGATGATCCATTCCATGATATCAAATACATATTTTTGCACATTTTTCTTTCTAATATATCATTGAAATTTCTAACTGTCTTCTCTTATTGCAAAGCACATACAGGGTCGTCTCATCGGATGTGAGTGTCATGTAAACACAAACACACACACTCGTAGTGCTTCGGATGAGTTGTTGGCCACATGAAAACAGAAGGGATTGGGTCTTTTCTTATTACTATGGTATTTTTCATATAATTTACCTATATTCATTTTTGTATGGATTATATTGCACATGCAACTGTTAGAGTGAAATGCAGATATTAAATTTTAGCAAGTAATGAAGATCTAACACTTACATCTTTGTCATAATAGAAGGTCGTCGTTGAAGGAACTATACGCTGAGCGTTTATAAGTCTACTCGGCAATAATTATACCTCGGCAGCTATGGAACTTTGCTATTGTATTCACTTCAAAATATGTCTAGTTTTCCCGATTTTATCAAAAGAGTATTAAAAGAATGTGGTGAGTCGTTTTTTAACGATTTAGACTATAAAAGTCTCTTCACAAGTCTATGAAATCGTTTTAGTCTTTGAAAACCTTTTTTTTGTTAGAAATTGTGTAAATAAATGAGAAAGAATGCAAGAGCTTCCTAAAAAAATTTGTGCGCCTAGACATCACATGATACCCAGAAGTGCTCGATAGCTCCTAGGTCCTTATCTTTCCTATATCTCTCATATACTAGTTCTTCTCAAAAAAGCAATGGGTGTAGCTGTTTTTTTGAATAAATATTGATATAAACTAGATAGAGATCTGCGGTTTTCGTCATTCAAAAGAGGAGACAAATCTGCATTGAATCTTGGATACCAGACTTTTCTAACAAGCTTTCTCGGGCTCTTCCGACAAGTTTTTAAAAAACAAAATATTGCGTAATACAAAATGATTAGTATTTTAGTTTTTAGCAGTGCACTAGAATTATTATCTGAAGGCTAGTAATGTATGAAAGTTCGATGTTGAAACGTTCAGCCAATCATCAAGATTTAATACAGGTTTATCTCCTGTTTTAAATGATGAAAACTGTAGATCTCTATCTGATCTCTATCAAAAATTATTCAAAAAACATCAACATCCATTACTTTTTGCAAACGAGTATAGTACTTAATTGAGTTTCCGAGGATATCCTGAAAAACCATTTAATCAACTATAATAATCTTTCACTATACCTTGTAAATGAGTATGTGGAAAAGAAGATAATACTGTTATACCCGATTTTGGAATATTCTAAAAAGAAGGTTTTCTCGTTTATTTATTAGTATGCATTGAAACATACACGTGTAGCACCACTTGGACAATAAGAATCAACTATAAATTTTTCAAATTTTGGTGGAATAGCAATACCAAGAAGAGTTGAAACTGTGCCAACTGTTAAATAGCCAATATCATGTTGACGAAGTTGCTTACCAAGATAAAATCGAATTCCAGAACTATCACGACGGTCTAATTGCAAAATAAATTCTTTTTATTTCAAAGCAAAGTCTTTGTTTACTTGAAGCTTGTTTTGGATTATCATAATGCATTTGAACCATAAAATATTTATTTGGAGAATTCAAACCAACTGGATACCCAGCTTGTTCAGGAAATTCAATTAGCTAAAATATATTTATTTGATCATTTAACATTGAATGTAATTGTTGATATTACATGATCACCACCAATTGCCCATCCAGTAGCAATATTAGTTGAACAAGGTTCGATTTTATCGTTAATTTCATCACAGATTCCGTCAGGAAGATTGTTGTCATCAAAACTAATTGACGGATTACATTCATGTAAAAGTAAATGATGAACGAGATCGGAATTTTCATCATCAATCAACATTTTGTACTATTCAAATAAAAAAAAGTTTTTAGTATCATCAAATGGCTTTTTACATACAGCAATAGCATGTCGTTTTGTTGCATAAGATGTTGGTGCTTTGTAAACCTTACAATGATATGTTGTATCATTCGATGGAACAACATACTTAGAAAAAATAATTCAATTTAAAATATTTAATTCAATTGTTTAACTAACATTGCTTAAACGAAGTTCAAAATAATCGGATTCAGCAAATTTGTCATCCGATGGTGGTTGACCATAAGATTGAAGTGGAATCATACGTGTACCTCGATGATTTTCATGATAGTTTATTTCAGATCCATCGGGATCAACAAGACCATATGCATATATCAAAATATTTGTTCCACTCTATTAAATAAGAATTAAGAGATGAAAAAAAGTACCCCCTTTGGAATTTTTCTGGAGAATGGGTCATCTCAAAAGTTTGAAATTTTTAGGATTCGTAGATCTTGATGAGTAGAGCAAAAGCTGTTATATATAGATGCAATACTCCTGGATGATGTCTTCTATGAAATACTAGAACCACTATGGCAAAAAATGGTCCCAATTTTAGTCCGGTTTCTTCGCGATGCACCATACGATATACTTAGAGGTACTAGACATTGTTTGGATCGAGAATTTTTTAGTTTTGTCTTTCGGATAAAAAAGCCAAAGTGTTCAAGGTACCCTAAAAGCCGCATTTATTTCAATAGAGCTCTTTTGTAAGATTTACCAAAAATCAGTAGAGCAACATTTGTTAAAACAAAAAAGAAAATAGCCATTTTTAACAGTGTATATTATACATATGTGAGAAACGTTTCAGCTTGGTTAGACGTATTTGGCGCGAGAAACTCTGGCGTTTCTGCATTTTCTTTATGAAAATGCTTTCAGAAAAATGCAGTTTTCGCTGTTTCCGTCATGTAAATTTCATTTCTTCTCGGGTTTTTTAACGTTTTAAGGCAACTTTTGGATTTCCAAATGTACTCAGTAGACAGATACTACTTAAGACTATACAATGACCACAAAAAACAAAAAAACGAGTTCACAAGAGGAATTGGGACCCTTAAACTGACGACTTAAGAAATATGAGTTTTCAGTTAATTCTAATCGATAGATCAGAATTACAGTTTTGTTACTGAAGTTGAAATTGTTTTTTTTTTGGCTCAACTAAATCTTTATTTCGTTCACAACTTGACGGAACTATTCGCCGAATTCATCGATCTTTGTGTTAATCTGTTTTAAAAATCAAATAAAGTATAGTACTCAATCGATTGTTTTTCTTCTTTGAATAAATTAATGAATCTTATCAGTTGCATTTTGCCTGTTAGTTGCAATGAGATTTAGGTTTTAGTGTTAACAAATGTTTTTCCAAGTCCAGTCAAAATTTTATGGGGAAATAAATTATCGCACCTAATCGGAATCTATTCAAAAAGAGTTAGTTTTTCTTTGAGAAGAAAACACATGATAAATCTGTTTAAATGAAATGGAACCTTAATTGGATAATCCATTGAATCACATGTATCAAGCAAACGTTTGAATTGAATGGCTGTCCATCCGTTCAATTCTCGACCTTGCAGCGCAGACCAATCGTTTGTTGTATTATCAATCATTGGTCGAACGAAACCAGACGCATATCGATCCTAAATCAATCCATAAGTAGAGAGCAAAACTAAAAGAAAGAGCATTTGCCATACTTGAAAATAAACTTGCCCTCGACTATCAACCCATCCAACTCCTATATCAGCACCTGTCATTCCTCCACCTAAATCAAAATAGTTAACAATCTAAACTCAAAATTGAAATATAAATGTACCTGGACTAATACCCAAAGAAATCCAACCCGTAGTTCTTATATGCAAATCAAATATAATTTCTTTTCGAACATCATCAACAGTCCACCAAAGATCAGCTATATTAGCTTCAAGTTCTATTGAATATTTAAAATTTGCCATTGGTTGAATAGGACTTGAAATCGATGCACATTTCTCAATGATCAATAACGCTAAAGCAACTCTTAGCCACATCGTCTGATTTTAGATGACAAATGCCCTTAAAAAACAAAACAGATTATTTATATATATTTGAATTATTTTTTCTGAATATCTCTTCTTACTCACTTTTGATAATGTCAAATACGCCGTTAGATTTTGTTGTTGTTATTTAATCCCTTGACCTGGAAAATATATTGTGATCATGAAGATTTGTTATTTATTGAAATTATTGGTATATTTACTTTGATTGATGTGTAATCGTACTATATAGACACCTCAGTTTCATTTTTTTAATCGATATTTGAATCATTTCTTTGTACATTTAAAAATGTCAAACTATGAATCATTCATGTTCTATCTTGTACAGGGCAAATCTTTCCGTTCTTTCGTTTACTGGTGCATTTTAAATATGTTCTTCTAAATAAGTGCATAGCATCTTGTCAATATGTTGTATCAAGGCAACATAAGATATGGCAAGAAAGGGCAGAAAAACAAACGAGATTAAAAGCCTCTGACTAATTTGATCTTTCAGAACCGAATCTTAAAAAAAAACATTCTAATGACATTCAAATTTCTCTTTCGCATGTTACTCTGAATTTGATCTTTTCATTAATATATTCTTCATATTTAAGATAGATCGACTTTCATCAAACAAAATAAAAATTTGAGTGCATATATGTTTAAATTCTCTACATTTGCTAGTTATGAATGGTAATCTTCGTCGCTTCTGAATTCATATAGAAACGAAGAAAAAAAAAACAAACAGATAAATCGATGTGATTTTTAAGACGAACAGAATTTGATACGACATGAATAGACGAACCACTCCATAAAGTTTACGAAAGGTAGAAATTAGACGTAAGCAGGATCTTCCTTATTTTAGAATACAGTTAAGTAAGGAATTCAATTCACTTGTTCAACTTAAGAAAAATTTCGTTAGCATATTGGTGAAGATCATTCTCTATCATTGTTGACTAGTGTGAAATACCTTATTACTATACAGTGAGATATTTAGTCGCTAACAACATTCCTGTTCAATATTCAATTAAACATGAACATCATAAATTGTTTTTGTTGCAATCTCGAGCAAATAAGTTCTTCTTCCCATGTCTAGTGCAATTATCAGTAATAAAATTTTCATATCACTGATAGGTTTCGAGAGTTTTATTGACGAATAAAAAAAAAAAGAAAATCATTTGTTATTATATAAGACAATAAATGAAAAAACATATTTTATGCCGCAAGATAATATGTAAACTATATTGTTTCCAATCCATCTGTATAATGTTGCAAGTACAATACTGAACAGGGTTATATGTGAGTAGAGGGGATGGCTGTAAATGTAAAGTAAAGTATTGAAATAGTATTCAACGATATTTTCATTCTTATTTAATATTATTTTTGAGAAACAACAAATAATATTTAACGTGTTGCATAATGTATGTATTGCTTTACATAAATTAGTACAATTTTAATTAGAAAATATTTCACTAGAATACTCTAGTCCAGATTTAAAATTTCAATTAATTTCATTACAAATGTAAAGTCATATAATCTCCATTTCAGAGTTAAGTGGACGTGGGCATTTTTTGAATAACTATAAAACAAAAGTAGAGAAATGATTCCGATTGTTAACACTATCTACAGTTGACACTATTGCATCTTTTTATGAAGTCCACAAAAAAATCCAGTTGTTTTTTCTTTTGACATATAGCATCGGTTTTAAAGATGCCCTTGATCTGTTTTCAAAACAATATATGCTTTCTAAACTATAATACAATGAGTAGTTAGCCTAGCTTCGCTTCTATCGACCAGAGCAAGCAAGAGATCGAAAGCTGTTTACCTTCAAAAGATATAAAGAATTTACTGAATGCTACTCATCAAAATGTTTTCAAAATCTAAGCAGTTAACAAATATCTCTTTATACAAATTTTTAGCCATCTTCCACTTCATGACATGATTCACTAATATTTGAAGTTTGTTTTCCTATTAAGAACATCATCAGAATCCATGCATTCAATTTATTTATAACAACGAATCAATGTTTTCATTTGATTCAATCAATAGTCTGTGATGTAACAGCACGTTCGGGGACAGTTTCACTTAGTATAATTCTATTACACAAGTGTTACAACCAAATGACAGCTAAGTAGCTTTATGATCATGATGTTCCATGTTCAAAAGATAGCTCCAAAGCAGAGTGATTAAAATTGGCTTCTGAAAATTTACCACAAAAAAATGAGGTGGACAAAGAAACAAAAAAGTATCGAGTTGATATGTTACGGTAAATGGAATCTATTTATATCTCTTCTTTTTTTATCCTTACCAATGAGACACTGTAGAATGAATCCTATTGAATTAACCTGGACCAAGAAGATGAAAACCTGTGTTCGTGAAAGAAACACGGAGTTTACTTTAGCTGAAGTGGACAAAGTAGCATAAAAATGAATATACAGCTATAATGCGAGGAAAATAACCAACTATATCAATCATGTCAAACAGTATAAGACAAGACTTAAAAGAACATACATCTGTGTCGAAAATATCCCAGAAGAACTTCATAATTACCATGACGATAATTATAGCACTCGTAGTACAAAGCATGCTGATGACTGTCTATTATCAATTTACGTTAAAATCTTCGAATCTCTTTTTGATTGATCGATTCAAATTCATAATCCTTTTGGGATAAAAGCATCAATAAAATAAAGGTCAAAGAGAATTTTCTGATATATCCATTCCTTGTCATAAACTAAATTGAATGCATGAATTCTGATGATGTTCTTAATAGGGAAACAAACTTCAAATATTAATGAATCATGTCATGAAGTGGAAGATGGCTAAAAATTTGTATAAAGAGATATTTGTTAACTGCTTAGATTTTGAAAACATTTTGATGAGTAGCATTCAGTAAATTCTTTATATCTTTTGAAGGTAAACAGCTTTCGATCTCTTGCTTGCTCTGATCGATAGAAGTGAAGCTAGGCTAACTACTCATTGTATTATAGTTGAGAAAGCATATATTGTTTTCAAAACAGATCAAGGGCATCTTTAAAACCGATGCTATATGTCAAACGAAAAAACAACTGGATTTTTTTTGTGGACTTCATAAAAAGATGCCGTAATGTGAACTGTAGATAGTGTTGAAAATCCGAGTCATTTCTCTCTTTTTATTTTATAGTTATTCAAAGAATGCCCACGTCCACTTAACTCTAAAATGGGCATTAGTTCTTGATTCTGAACATACCTAATAATGACTATTTAAGAAGTAGTCGAAACACGTTTTATGGCACTTTGAATCAATCAAATATGAGAACACACTTACACCCAACCGGAATCAAATCGATTGTGGTAGCTTCGATCACACCCACAAAGCCTAATTTCGAATAAATAGGTGTCTTTTAACTAAAATTTCTTTGTTCTTATGTAATATTTTGGATTTTAAAGATAGGTGATGATGACTACCTAAGCAGTAGCCGAAACGTGTCGTATATTGCTTTGAACCCTATTATCATAAGCACACCCACCCTCACATTCATCCAATCCCAGACTCATACCCATGCTAGACCATACCTACACTCTCAGTTTGATTTCTTATAGACTTTACTTTGCTTTATTGAGCAAAAGTGGAGAGGAGAAAATGGGTTGAATACAATATAAGCAGACAGAATCAATTGTATTCAAGCTCTGAGGCAATCAATGCGTACATTAAAGTCTACACTGCACGAGAATAAAAAGTTGGCACAGCGAGCTTCGAGGCAAAACTTGCCCTTTGAAAAGTATTCCTCGTCTTCACTGTTCCATTTGAACGAGTTGATGATGCGATGCGATAAAAAGGAGAACTGTGTCTGTATTGGTTTTTCATATGAACCATCACAACTATTGCTCACCCCGACATCGAAGTTGTCGGTCTTTCTCGACTCGATTATAACCTGTTTCACATAAATATGTCCACCAGCACAGTGAAGTGCTGACAACGTCCACCTATGATCTCTTTTGATTGATACGTTGCTGCCTGTACCTGTCGTAGTTCCAGAGTAGATTTCGGACGTAACCATTTTCTCCAAATGAACGAATACGATAGCGAAGAAAATTGCCTTAAAGATAAATCTTTTCTACAATAATAACAAAGATATTTTTTGAAGCTATCCTATTTGTTTACTGTAAATGTAGGATATAATTATTGAATATCGTTTAATTTACGTAACACACTTTTAATGTGTCGGAGTAAGTCAAGCACATCATGATCGGTTTCGATCTTGTTTAAGGGTATTATCAACATATGGTTTTTTCAAGAAGGAATGATTCAAAAGAGAATTAAATTAAGAGAATAGAAGATTTTTGCATTGCTACGTAAATTGAAGAAGACATAAGTAGTAATGAAGAGCCAGAATGAGGGTCGAGGTAAGTTTATAATATGGAATTCAAAGCAACCTACGATGCATTTTGATTGTTGGCAATTGTAGCTTTGAAATCGTTTTAATCTACAATGAAAGAGTAGATATAAATTAATAATAGAAGCTATTTTGATTAGAATAATAAGATGAATGTTGTTTTATTGAATAATAGACAACAAGTAGTGCTCATCCTACAGATTCGCTTAACCTTTTCTGAAAAATAGAAAGATAACGCTGTAAATAAAGAAAGTAATAAGAGTTTATACACCGTCATAGTGGAAGAAAAATAAAGACCACCTCCTAGCGATGTTTTCCGAGTTGTGCCAACAGATCTCTTCAAACTCTTCATGATTTATTCTACAAAAAATCTTCATGCCTCTCCTAGACATGGGATATTAGGGTACGTTCCTGCAGTCAGACCTGATGGCGGAGCTCATATGTGAGCGTCCAGCTATTGATCAAATCAGGGTATCCGTAGATCAGCTTGGACTTAGCCAAGCAAGACACGGATGCTCACAGTAATACAGTGACGAGTGGCTAGTGATGATGTCGCTAAGTGTCCTAATGCAAGTATGAACGGATAGTGTGATGCCTCAGCAACACATTCACTAGAAATGAACGCCCGAATCAACAGCATCAATTTAAGATGGAAATTAATACATAGAATGCTACATCGCTCACTGACAAAGTACTAGAACTGATTGAGGAAACCAAAAAGTATCAACTAGATATAGTTGAAGTATCATCAACTAAGTGGGAGGACAATATAATATTGGTTTTACACAGGGGATGGCAATTATCCTACTCTGGTGTCAACCCATCTAGATATGCTCAAGCAGGAGTAGCAATACTTCTGCACTCTCGACTAGTCGATGTATTCCTCGAATAGTGACCAATCATTGAAAGAGTCGTCTTTATTGGGCTACAGCTAGCTAATGAAGAAAACTCTAGCGGCAGTACAAATGTATGTGCAAAACATGAAATCAGAATTTCTTGACGAAGTGCTTGAAGCTATGAATAGCATTTCTGGGACAGATCTTATAAAACCGATCGGGGATTTCAGTGCACACGTTGGCAGCAACTCATAAGCATAGAGTGATCTGATTGGACCAAATGTTGATAAAGAGTCCAACACACAAGGCAAACAACTGGCGGATTTTTTATACAAGTAGTGGTCTATCGATAACCAATACCATTGAAGTTGACTAGAACACGTTGGGGAGCATTAGCTGATGAAGAGATCTGCCAAAAACTTTTCGAAAAAAGTCGATCAACGATTCTCTGAGATATCACCGAAGGAAGCTAACATTAAAACCGAGTTCGTTCTTTTCAGTATGGCAGTGCTAGATGCTGCGACAGAAACATGTGGAATCAAACATGTCAAACTGCACAATGGCTGAAAGAGAATCGCATGGTAGACCGAAAAAGTTCGCATGGGTAATGATGACAAGAAAGTACTATATCGTATATGGATTCAGTGGTAAACAGAGGAAAACTGGCAGTTTTATAAGGAGTTACGAGACAACGCTAAGAAGCTTATGGCTGAATCAATAGCAACCTCTTAAAACAATGTTGGACACCATCTGAAATTCAACTATCATTGGGCTAGCAAATTATTTTGGCGGATCGTTCGCTGACACCGTAAGGGTGAATCCACACCCCTCGGGTCGGGTGTGGGTGTGTAAGAGAGATTTTTGATGTAGGTTGGTGAATGTACATATTGACAAAGTCTTCTGTTCATTGCCTTTCCTATCCAGTGAATTGTCTTGATAAAAAAAAACAAGGAAGCCAGATATATCGAAATCATATGACTATACGAAGCGTTAATTTAATGCAAGATGTTTCTCGAGAATAAACAAAAAACAAGACATTAACATGTAGAAAAAAAATGTTTCTCTGCAAGAATACTTTGAATAGTTTTGATGGTCTAGTTAAAGAGTACGTAACAAATTCTACTATGTTACAAAAATATAAATATGAATTAGTTAACAATATACATTTGGCAATAGTTCATGCAAGATAATAATAATAATAATAATAATCAAGTAGGAAGTACAAACATTACCTGAGCAAAATGGGCGAATAAATTAAATAAAATCTTTCAGCAACAAAAATACTTCACTGTATATTTTGACGCCTTTAGTTCTTGCTGAAAAAAAACATGACAGATCGACAAAGTCAATGGCCATGCTCCGTGAAAGTAAGGGAAATGTACAACAGTCCATCCAGTAATTGAAAATTCTCTGTTAATGCTCACCCAAAACGCTGTCAGATACCATCAAATTTCGTACTGTGTGTGAAAACTTCTACTCCACTTCCCTAATATTGAAACTCTGGCGTACACCTTGTCGATGGCCTGTTTGGATCACTGTTTTATGATATGCATGTTCAGGATACTGTTAAACCTTCTATTGCTCAGTCATATTTTAAACTAATAATTAATAGGCAAACAAAATTTTAACATTAAACAAATAGCTTGCTGTTGTTAATTCGTGAGAGATCATCACTCTCGTGGAATCACTGAGGCACATCATGGTTAAGAAATATTATATTATTTTTTGTCTTTTTTAAAGATGTAGCCTAAAAGTTACATATATTGAACTGTCTCGTTTTCATCATGAACATTAGAGATATAACCTGATTTCGAGCGCGCCAACAGGTCTTTTAGGCATTATTAAGTGCTCATTATGAACTGATAAAATAACTACGGTTGTATCGAGCAAATTTCACGTAAGATTTATGTAAAGTATCTTAAAAAACATAATTCCAGATCCATAAGCACAAAAATAAACGATAAAAAAAATAGCAGGCATTTTTGAATGTTATTAAAAATATGCTGTTTTCTAAGTCAAATTTAATCAAAAGCATAAAGAAACATTGATTTCAGCTGTTCCCCCTTGCAGTAGCATCTTGAAGAGTTCAAAATTCTGAATAACATGAGGGGCTATCATATTTTCTACGGCTTGGGCTTAAAAAGTTATTAATATCATAGAAAACTAAAAAATGATGCGTTTTCTAACCGATTGTTTTTATCAATGCTATCATAAATTTCGCTTTTTTTTCATTTATTGTGATGCTGATAACTTTTTAAGAAAAAATCGTACGAAATACGGTGATCTCTCTTTCTGTTTAGAATTTCGAGCTCTTTAAGACAGTGCTCCTTAAAACTTAATCTTACATGGTCTTCTGAGATGCGAAAACTACCGTGTTTCGTTTTTTAGCAATCTTTTTCTCATAGTCCATGTATGAAATTTACATATGGAACCACAATTTTCATTTGAGTTAAATGCTTGGTGTCGTAGAAAAAAAATCAAAAATACATTGATCTTATATTTTTGACCACTACTGTCAATATTTTGTCGAATGAAATAAATCAAAAAGGATTCATACATCAATGAAATAGTTCATTATTATCGATTAACATTAATGTAGACATATTTAAAGACTATGCATCGCATAAGTGCTTATGTATATATTGATTGCATTTATTGAAATAAAAGAAAGTTTCTTATTCAGTTGAAAATAGAACTTACGTATCATGTTATTTTATTGATTCAGCGTCAAAGAATAAAGGCATTCATTAGTATTTTGAATATGAAAATGAAAACTGAATGTCTATCAAACATACATGATCAGATGCAATAATAATGACTTGCCTAATGAATGAATAAATAGTTCGTATAAAACTAGATGATCTTCATGATCAAAAGTTATCCATGAATGATATTTTCAATCAATAAGTTATACAAATCTGCCTGAATATAAAAAGTAGTTTGATTTAAATAGCTTTTGATAGCCTATTTAGCTACAACGAAGTACTTTTCAATTAAAATTTTTCTTTTCATTATAAATTACATGCTATTTTCGAATATGACCACGAGGAATCTCCTTAGGTCTTTTTCAGTTTCAAATCGCCGTGTTCTTTTCAGAAAATACAGAGATTGTAATTCATACTCGAGATATATATTAACATTTCAATGTGAAAATATTCAAGATCATATTAATTTAGTTAAAATTCAATTTTAAAAAACAAAAATGATTGTTGTCTTATAGATAACTCGATGTACTCTATAATCTGAGAGTAGATCCAAAACGGTTTTAACAAAATGTTTGTTAGTTTAAAAAACCAGTGAATAAAGATTTTATGAGAATCTCTTATGGTGCTATTGAGCATAAATATGACAGATAATCCAAGAATTTAGTTGCTTTTCGTGAGACAATGTTCGTTTTACAGTTATTTAGGATTATATTTTTGAACGAATATTTTCTTCTTTTCGTCTTTTATTGTTTCTCATTTTAAAATAATTTTATAATAAAAACTGATAGAAGTCTTCAAAATTTAGAGATATGTTGTTGCAACGGGCGCATTTTTTACAGCTAGTTGATGTACTTTATGTGACTGAAAACAAAAAAGAAGACATACAATAAGTAAGAGCAATTTTTCTTAGATGAAAATTTACCGTATATAATAATTTATAAAGTTCCAAGGATGCTCCTCGATAACTATTACGCCGAATGGTTAAAATACAAGAAAATAAGCTAAAAGAAAAGATAACAATTAATAATGTTTACTGAAGCGGTGAAATTGCATACGTACATTAAAATTAAAACTAATGGAATAATGACCACAGCACTAGTAATTTTAAGTATAATGTTGACTAAAATTTCATTTTGAATTTGTGTAACAATATTACGAACTGAATAATACATATAATATTCAGGTTCATGACTATATAAACGAAATGGTCCACAACCACGTGATGGCCGAAGTCTATTCCATAGAGAATAGTTATTTTTTTTTTCTTAGAAAATAAACTTACGATGTAGCAAGAAAACTAATTGGTAGCAAAGCCCATATAAAAGAAAACAGAAGAACAGCTGTAAATATATGACGAGCTCGAGCAGGACTCAATTCTAATTGTGATCTTTTTCGAAAGAAAGCCAAACTTAACTAAAGAAAAATTAAATAGAAAACACTTACACATTTTATTATTTTATTTTTCACTTACCCATTTAACAGCAAAGATAAGTATATTTTTAGCTGCTGCAATCAATGGTAAAAATGGACAGAAAATTAAACCATGCCTAAATTATGATACATATAGATTTTCTGATAATAATCAATATACCAACATACCAACACAATGTTTGAGTATAAGTCAAGTCTAATACATAATCTTCTAGTTCAAATTGTAACGGCTTCCACAAACAGAATACTTCAGGTGGTTCTGGAGTTGCATTTATAGTTTCATATTGTTGTTCTACTACTGATTTTGATGAACAGCAACATGTCAATAGACTAAAATCAAACCAAAATCTTTTGAATGATTAATAGCTGAAACAATCTATATGTTCTGTCTACGTGTTGGTTAAAGATTTATAATGCAAATACAATCTATTACAACTATAGATTATTATTGACATGTAGTCATTTAGACAAATGTTCTCACAACTTTTCATTGTAATCAAATTTAAGAAAGAATGATATTGAGACTTAACTGGAACAACGAGAACATCCAGGTCAAGAAAAAAAGAAGTATTTCTTAGAATTACTCTATCGATCTTCGTATCAATACAATTTTAGTTTTCTAGTACATATTACCTTCGTAATGGATCGACAATAAGATGAATAATTACCATAACAACAGTATCAGTAATAATAAGTCGATAAATAGCTTGACCTATTAAAGTTTCCCAACACTAAATTAAAAACAAAGATATATATAATGAAGTTTTTCATGAAATCTTATGTATTTACATGTATAAAAGTTGCTTCTCCTGGAATTTCTACACAATTAATAATTTTTGATTGTCTTCCACATTGATTACTATTACATGTTATTTGTAGAATAACAATAAATACAAAAGTAAACAGTAAAAGTAACCGCATAATGATAACTCTATGGAAAAAAAAATTAACAGAAGAAAATTTTCATTTTTTTGTTTTCGAAATCCTACCGAATTAAATAATGACGAACAGCAGTTGCATGTGTATATAACTTGAAATTTCTCATATAAGCAAATATTAATTGTGATACTAAATTCAGTAGAGAAACTACTGTTGAAGGTAAATATTCAATAGCTAACTCTGCAAGATTATTTCTTTGACTTGCACCATCGTCCATTTCTTCTTTTGCTCTTTCCTAAAAACAAACATAAAAACAAATCATAATATTAAAATAAAACAAACTTGAAAACTAAATCGATTAGTAAAATAGACGGCAGCTATTGCACCAGCAAATATAATCAATGTAACAATCCAAACAATTATACGTTGAATTTGAAATAAAATTTTATCAATTGGTCGATTAAATTTAAAATTTATTTTATCATTACGTTCTAATAAAATACTTTTGATTTCACTTTTAAAACGATGTTCATATCGACGAGCAACTGATGTCTTAGTTGTAGAATAACTCCATCGAGCAAATACATATTGAAAAACATTATTTTCAAATGATTCATCTTGTACATAACTTTTTTTCATACCATCACCATATCTAAAGAGAAATTTGTCGTTTAATTTCTATGAAAGTTATATAAATATTTACTTTCGTATAATAATAATGCCTGTTATCAAAAGACAAGCAAATATTGTCAAAAAAACAGCTAAACCCATATTATATGTTTGAAAATATGAATCTACAGTATCGGATTTTGTTAAATTTCGATAATAACCAATAAATAATCGATTAAGAGTAAAAAATCCCTAGAATTAAAATAAAAAACTTATTAATATCGTTCCATAAAGGGTTAAAATTTAGAACTCACAAACTCTGACTGTAATAAATTTATGTTATATCATCAGAGAGGTTAAAATAATTTATTTAAAAAATTTCAAATAAATAAATCAATAAAAATTATAAAAATTTTTATAGTTGATATTATTTAAATTAGTTAGAATCTATAGTAGAGATTTTAGATGAATAGAATACTTTGGAAGATTCCAAAAAGTTCCATAATGATCTAAGTACTATTATTATTGGCGCACCTTTACCTGTTGCTAGAACCTAGAATGAGCCACAAAAATCTCGATTTAAACTTCCGCTCACTATATCTTTTTTTTTCGAAAATATATGAGTTTCACAACAAGAAGACTAATGGGATATAATGATTACAGTTCATACGTACTGTTCCAGAGATAAGATCACTCAAGAATTTTATTTGATCATTTTCACTTTCACTTGATGAATTAAGAAAAAATGCTTCCGTATGTAATGAACAACAACTACTGGCCAAAAATGAATCACTTAAACATGTTTCATTTGAATCATTGATTTTATTTGTAGCTGGTGTATTGAGAATTTTACATTGTGGATCATTTAAAGTACATTGTTCAGTAGATTGATTGTGGATTGAAATACTATTTATTTGATAATATTGATTCATAGCATATGTAGAAAAATCTTTTGGATTTGGATAGATAAATGTTGGCAGTACAATACATAAAAAACAAATAATAAAAGTAAAAATATTTAAATAAAATAACCAAACAACAAATTGAAAATAAGAACGTATTGTATAACCATGATGATCTAATATAATAGAAAAAAAAAATTATTTCGTTTGGTTTTTCTTTATTTCTTACGTTCAATATGATCAAGTAAAAATTCAATTGGTGACGGAATTTTTGAAAACAAATTTTTTAATTTTGTTACCAATGATTCTTTTTTCTATGAATGTACAAAAATAAATCTTAAGCCAGTTTACTTAAAATATATGTCATTTGCTTACCGCTTTTATTTGATCTTCTTCTACAGGTGCAACAAATTTAGCCCTATTAACAAAATATTCTATATAACAATGATCTATTAATTAATAGTATTTACCAATCTTTTCGTCGTTTTCTTTCAATAATTTTTGCTAATGCTGATTCATATTCAGTTTCCTCTTCCTTAGATATTAAGATATTATTTCGAAAATTAAAGAAAATTTTTCTTATTATCTTTTCATACCTCTACTGATGACGGAATAACAATTGTTGTTGTATTATTTGTATTTGCTGATAATGGTATTTCATCAAGATCTACAGTTTCAATTTCTTCAGACGAAAAATTTTCACTTGGAATTATTGTTAAATTATCTATATTCGCTGATGATGGTATATTATTAAGATTTATTGTTTCAATTTCTTCAGACAGTAAACTTTCTACGGATTCTCGAGGACGACGACGACGACGACGATCGCGTCTTCGTGCTTCTAATGAATTCGAAGGCATTCTATACTGTACTATTGATGTCCACTATTATTTCGTTTGCGTAAAGTACTTTAAAAAAGATCGTATATATTAAATATATATTTTATCAACAATAAATCTTCTCCGAGTAACTTTTCTCTTTCGTTCTATTGTTACGTAGACAACATACCTTATCAGTTGTTTTATTAACTTACAAGTATAGATTCTATGCGAGAAGCACAAAACATAGAAATAATCATACTTTTTTCTTTGCGCCAACATGCTATAAAAAAAACTTTTACTCTTAATATACGTTTTTTTTTCTAGACAGAGTTTTTGTTATTTGTTATGCAATAATTTATTTATCAAACATTGATATAAATATACATATCAGACTATCTTGCATTGCAATGTTCTCAACAAGAATTTATCAAATTCATGAGAAAAATTTGTATTTTAATCTTTTAAAAAAATTAATTTAAATTGAAATTATTGTTTTTATTGTTATTTTTTTTTTATTAAAGTAGAAGGCTATATATTTATTGACTACATTTAACGAAAAAGATCCATTAAATTTTATATGGTATCACTTGACAATTAGCTGGATATGGTCGTCGGCCTTCTAAAAGTTCCCATAAGTAATCACCATGTGAAAAAACTGCAATACGTTTTTCAGGTCGTTCTTGAATAAACCGGCGAAATTTTTCTACACGTTTTCGTTGATAGTCACTTGTTTCATTATAACGTTTTTGATCATATGGCCACCACCATATATCATCCATAGGAACATTTGACCAATCAAATCTACTAGGAAATTTCGGTTGTATAACATGACGTTTTTGTCCACAACTATAATCTGATGAACAAATTTCAGCTATTTCTGGTAGAACAAGAATTGGTCCAGTATAGGATGATGGTAGAGCACTTTGACATGTTTGGAGTGCTCGTGTTAATGGACTTACAATAGCAAGATCAATTTGTAAATCTTCAAGTTCTTTTTGTAAAGCTCTTGCTTGAGCAAAGCCTTGTTCAGTTAAACCAGCATCACGATAAGCACTTGATTCATCATAATCTCGATTAGCTATTGATTGACCATGACGAATAAGAAAAAGTGTTTTTGTTGTTGATTGTTGCTCATCATTATTTTTCTTTTTTGCTGGCATTATTATCTACAATTGTACATTTTTATATATAGAAATTGTTAAATTAGAAAATAGAGAAAGATCTAAAGTAGAATCTTCAGATGATGAAGAATTTAAATTTTCTAATTGTTTACAAAGATTTGATATAGAATTATTTTCATTTGTTTGTAATGTACGATTTTTAAGTAAACGAATTAACTATTTAAAAAAAAAAAAAAGAAAGAAGATAGATTAAAAATAGAATTTTAAAAAAGAAAATATTTTCATATACTTCAATTATTTCAGCTCTTAAATCTGGTGATGATATTGTTCGTTTTTCATTCATCATTGATTGTAAACGACTTAGTGCATTAGTTAACGGTGTTGTTCGACTTTTTGTTGATGATAAATTAGCACCAGCACGAAGAAGAACACCAACTATTGCTAAGCGACTACTAATACAAGCTAAATGTAATGGAGTATTACCAAGTGAATCTTCAGCATTAACATCAGCACCATGATCAACAAGTGCTTTTACTAATGAGAAAAGAAAATAAGAACAAACAAATCTTACTTAATGATATTTTTGTTTTCTAAAATTTACCTATTGCTGCATTTATTTTTGTAGAAGCAACATGCAATGGAGTACGACCATATTTATCAGCCGTACGTGGATCAACACCTGATTGCAGTACATCAAGTACTAAAACACAATGAAATAAGATTAATTTATTGAATAGTTTAATATTTACCGCGATCATAATCTTGAGCATTGACAGCATCGATTAAAATATGTGTTTCTAAATATAATATGAATTTCAAATGATGAAAGATTTTGAAAGAATTTTTACCTCGCTTTCCATTGGCAAGATCAGGTACAGTTGCTCGACGAATTGATACACGTTCTCGTCGAGAATCTCGTGATTTACCCAAACAATGTGAAGATGACATCAACTCTAGTTCAATGAGTTGTTGTCAAATAGTATATGATCTAATGATATAAAGTACGATGAAAAAATGTAAAATAATCTTGAATACACTTAGTAAAGCGACATCTAAGTTAATCGAAATGTCAAAAAAAGAAATTTTGATAGAAATGTATTAAATCAGACTGTACATTCATTCGTATAGTTTATTTTTAGGAAAGATGAGTTTCAAACGAAGGATGACGCTACATTACGATAACATTGTAACAAGACTTTACTTGAGAACAATGTAAACATGTGAGATATCGCTAAGACTAACTCTTTAATTTAAGTTGATCAGAAGAATTTAGTGTTATAAATAATTCATATCAGTAATGTATGTATGTATGTTATAAGGTGTTAGATATTAACTTTTCAAAATAATTTTCATCCTACGTGCATTAACGGATTTCTAGTTTGACATTGATTTGGTGATTCACGCATTTGTAATCATTGACTATAGAAAATGAGATTCATTCAATACAAACATTGCTTTGATCTTTACTCAATTCAACAAACTAATCCGTCCAGTAAAAGATATACAGAGGCCGCTATTGTCAAAATTTCTTGTTGAGAATATTTTCAGATTTCTTAATCGTTATTTATTTATGTCAAAACATAAACATGATTTAAGTCTCAATGAAAAAATTTTCAAAAATAACTGAATTATATTAAGACTTTTTTTCAATAATGATAGACTCATATCATTGAATGCGCTGAACACACGAAATCTTTGTTGGAACGGAAAACTCGAAAATTGGTGCAAAAGATAGTATTGCAATACATCATCAAATAAGGATCGATCAGCAGAAAAAATTCTTTAATTTATTATTAATCGACCGGATACGAAGTACTCTTTCAAAATACGACCTTCATACGTATGTTAGATGTCAACGAAAAAAACTACTTCTATTTTTAATAAAATTTCTCAATGAAACTCGCTTACAGGGTATTTTTCTAGGTTATAGTGTTAAATTTCGCAACAAAAACGATATTTCCAGATAGAATTCAACAAGCTCTAACGAACTTATCCATTTTCAGCACAGTTTTATTTAATATTCGCATCT